TCACCAGACAACCCTTCTTGCTGGGCGAAGCGAGAAGAGGTGTTTATCTTGAATGGTGCGTGCGTTGGGATGCTTGCTACCTATAGTAGCAGGGGACGCGTACGTCACGGTCACTGGCCAGTCAGGATTGGCGTATTGAGATAAGTGCTTCTGAGTAATCCGCGGAGGGGCGTATCCCATAGTGAGACATCTCACTCATGTTACTCAGAGAACCGGGGTTACGATAGTAACCTAAAGTTTATATGCAGGTAGCGGCGCTGCGGCTGCTTTATATAGCGACTCGTTGCATTCTCCCTCAACCCAAATCCTCGAATCACGCATTTTAGCTAAAACGCTAACGTTAACTTGCCTTGCGTTGACTGTAGAGTTGTGGGTGATGGTCACGCAGATGTGTCATGAGATTTGAAGCGTTGCTGCCTTTCACAGACACTTTTTCTGCATGTGCTGCAAACAGGATAGCCGTCTTCTATCAACTGTCCCTCGGCATTCTTCAAATATCCAAAAGATGCCCGTACTTCCCACTTTGTCTTCTTTGAGGGATAAAAAATGTCCTGAGCCCTGCTGTCTCCTCCTTTGGCCATTATTTCAGCTTTAGTTTCAAGAAAGTTTTGGCAGTAAACAACAAAGCGCGCATGTGCCATCGGCAACTTCAGCAGATGATACAGTGGCTGGTAAGGGTCACCGCGTCTACACCACAGCCACGGTAACCTACCGAGATAATATAGTTTTTTTAAAAACAAGACGTTATTATTATTGTCAACTTTTTTACCAGGGTTTACCGCTACACCGGTTACCGTGACAACCCTAGGCGAGACGCAGCTCTTCTTATAAGCACAATAGCTATGTAACTAAGATCAATTGTAATAATAAATAAAGGTAGTAATGTGACTTATTAGTTCAACAAATGCTACCTACTATGCACCATACCTGATAAAAAAAAGTGTAATTAACATCAAATAATGTAAAATTAAGTGTCATTCGCTATTTTGCAGTCTCCTTATGATATGTAAAAGGCCATCTCTTGTGGTTTGGTTGTGCACATAGTATTTATTTAGGAAGAAAAACTGAAAATGATGCATACTGCATCTTAACGTAGTCCGTACGTCCTGATCTTGATGCTATGTAATCAGGATATTAGAATTTTCATGTATACAGGGGTAACTCTCTCTTCTTGTGCATGTAAACAGGTTATTCTGAGTTTTTCAGAAACCCGAATACTTGCTGCATGAAAACGTAGTCAGTGTTTCCTACAGTAACTGAGGAAACATCAGAAGGACTGAAGCTGAATCTGACTTCATGTTTGGATGCAACTCTGATACTTTAGGGTCATTTATAGTCTCAAACACAACAAAAATGTCCGACCAGCCCTCCAGTCTGTGTAAGCTTCACTGTCCTTCTTCACAACTATGACAGACAAGTGGCAGAGCATCATGTCTGTTCAGTCTGCAGATTCACCCAAGTGTGTGTGTGTGTGTGTGTGTGTGTGTGTGTGTGTGTGTGTGTGTGTGTGTGTGTGTGTGTGTGTGTGTGTGTGTGTGTGTGTGTGTGTGTGTGTGTGTGTGTGTGTGTGTGTGTGTGTGTAACGACCTAACAGTACACCATTCATGAAACTACCAGGTAATATAGCAAATGTGACTGAAGACTTACCGACCCAGATCTAATTATTATTATTAGTGATGCACCGATATGAAATTTTTGGACCGATATCCGATATTTAGATCGCTGTTATGGCCGATAACCGATATTTGCCCATACCGATATACTGACATTAATGCATCTAAAATCAGTAGATTTTGCATAGGATGAAAATTGTTAAAGCTGAATTTACATTATTATGTACACCCAACACACACATTCACGGTTCTGAGATGATTTAATTCTCTGTCACATGACTAAACAATTACACATCACCCCTCACCCTCTGTGTGACTTTCTATCCTCCACTGTGAAGCTGTCCAGACTGGTGATTGTGGGTGACTTTAGCATCCACATTGATGATCCCTCTGATTACTTTGCCATGAATTTCTCCAGCCTTATGGACTCCTTCAGCTTTACCCAGCATGTTTCTGGCCCCACACACACACCAGGGGACACACACTGGACCTTGTTTTTACCCTGGGTCTAAATGCTGACAGTGTTTGTCCTGAGGATGTTTATATTTCACATCACCATTGCATTTTCTTTAACTTGTCAGTTTCTGCGTCCCCACCTCCTGCTCACCGTATGGTTAGTTCTCGTTTTCTTAATGAGAGCAGAGCTAGCAAATTTTCTGCTGCTTTTGATCCACCCTGTTCTTCTGATAACGACCCAGATTCCTTAACTTCTCAGTTTAACGAGCGCTGCCTCTCCATTCTGGACAACATCTGTCCTGTCAGAACCAGATCAGTTCCTGCAGTGAACCCTACTCCCTGGTTTAATGACAGCCTTCACAACCTGAAGCGCCATTGCAGAAAAACTGAGCGCTTGTGGAAGAAAACCCATCTCCACGTCCATCTGCTGCACCTAAAGAATCTTCTGACATCCTTTAACTCTGCAGTCAGAGACACAAGGGTTTCCTATTTTTCCATCCTGGTGTCCCAGAGCAAAGGGAACTCCAAGGTGCTGTTTAACACCATCAGAAGTATCGTCTCTCCTGCCTCTCCTACAGCCTCCATCCACTCTGTTGCAGACTGTGAGAACTTTCTGTCTTTCTTTGTGGACAAAGTCAATAAGGTTAGATCTAGCATCTCTCCTTCAGCCTTATCGCTGCCTCTCCCAACTCCAGCCAGGCCCATCATCCTAGATAGCTTTGCTCCTGTTTCTTTGCCTGAGTTAACCAAACTAGTTAACTCTATGAAGACCTCTGCATGCCCCCTCCACGTCTTACCCTCATCTTTGTTTGAAAGTGCTTTTCAGTCCATCGGTCCCAGCGTGCTCTCTATAATTAATGCTTCTCTGGTCTCTGGTCAGGTCCCTGCTTACTTTAAGAATGCTGTAATCCTCCCGCTTCTTAAAAAACTGAGTCTCAACCCCTCTCTCCATAGCAGTTTCAGACCCATCTCTAAACTTCCGTTCATCTCCAAGATCTTGGAAAAGGTTGTGGCTAAACAACTCACAGCTGCTCTTGATGAACATAACATCTATGATTGCTTCCAGTCAGGTTTTCTTAGAGCTCATTCTACTGAAACAGCTCTTCTTAGGGTCTCTAATGACCTTCTGACTCACAGTGATGCAGGGAACTGTTCTGTTCTGGTCCTGCTGGACCTGACTGCAGCCTTTGACACTGTTGACCATCACCTGCTACTGGAGAGGCTGAGAGACTGGGTAGGCCTATCAGGAACTTCTCTGGAGTGGTTCTCCTCTTATCTCTCTGAGCGTTCCTTTTCTGTGGCCATCTCCAAGTTTAGGTCCTCCACCACCTCCCTTACCCATGGTGTCCCACAAGGTTCTGTGTTGGGGCCTCTGCTCTTCCTCCTCTATCTGCTTCCTCTTCAGCACATCCTGAGCTCCTTCAAAGGAATCTCCTACCATATTTATGCAGATGACATCCAACTGGACATTTCCTTTAAGCCCCATGAGATGTCTAAGCTGCAGCTGTTACACACCTGCTTAGACTCTATCAAACCCTGGATGGCTGGGAGCTTTCTTCAGCTGAATGAAGATAAGACTGAGGTCCTCAACTGTGCCCCAGACAAGCTGGTTCCCAAAGTCAGATACTCTCTTGGTCAGCTTGCTTCCCACACCAAACCTTCTGTCAGGAATCTTGGCGTGACCTTTGACCCAGCTCTCACCCTGGATTCTCATGTCGGTTCTCTTGTTCGCTCTTCCTTCTTCCATCTCAGGAACATTGCAAAGCTGAGTCCCATTCTGTCCCGCTCTGAACTTGAGACAGTTGTCCACACCTTCATCTCCTCATGCTTAGACTACTGTAACTCTCTTTTCACGTGTCTGAGCAGAACCTCCCTGAACCGTCTACAGGTGGTTCAGAACGCCTGTGCTCGGCTTCTGACCAAGTCCTCCAAACACCCACATCACCCCGCTTCTCCTCCAGCTTCATTGGCTGCCAGTCAACTCCAGGGTTCATTTCAAGATCCTGGTTCTGGTCTATAGGGCCTTACATGGACAAGCACCATCTTACATTGGTGATCTTCTTAGTCCCTACACCCCCAGCAGGTCCCTGAGGTCCAGTGATCAAAGCCTACTGGTTGTGCAGCACCAGGCTAAAGACCAAAGGTGACAGATCATTTGCTGCTGTGGCCCCCAGACTCTGGACCTCTCTCCCCCTGAGCCTGAGATCAGTGGACTCCTTTAAAAAGCTGCTGAAGACTCACTTGTTCAAGCTGGCTTTTGTATGACCTTCTTCACCACTCTCTCTTTATTCTGCTCTCCCCACCTATTCCACCTTCCTCAGGATCCACTGATTTCTCTCTTTCCTAGTCACTCTCTCTCTTTCTTAACTTTTTTTAATCACAATTGTCAAATTTTTTTGCTCATTTTAAATATAGTTTTTAACCATTTTCTAAATTCTTTTTAAATATTTTTACATTTTTTGTTTTTGTGAAGCGCCTCGTGATTTTTATGTTGAGGCGCTATAAAAAGGATATTTTCTTCTTCTTCTTCTTCTTCTTCTTCTTTTCTGAAACAGGCAAACAAATGGAGACGAGATGGAAAAAATATCGGTTGTTAATATCGACCCAGTTTTATTTATCGAACCGATACCGATATTGATGCTGATGTATTGTCCTTTCCTTATTATTATTATAATTATTTACACAACTTCCTTCTTTTTTCTTATTTTAAAGCCTCATCAAAATAATGCATTTAAAAATTTTGTGAAAGATTAAAATTTCATAATAAAATATTCTTTGTTAAACTTTTTTAAATCTAATATTCCGTGAAGACTATCTAGTAATTAAGCTGATTTAATTATATATCAATCTAGGAAAATGCACCTTAGCTGGTGGCCAGTTATGTATTATGTTAAAATATTTAATTTTTAATTTAATGCATTTGTTTTACAGGCTGAAGGACAGAACTCTAAAAATCAACAGATGGACCCATTCACAAGAAGACAGTGCAAACCAACCATGGTGTCTAATGTAAGCTTTTCTTTTATATTAAAAACAGAAACTTCTGAATGAAAGATTAATCTGCTCTGATGTTACATCTTAGTCCTCTAAAGTCCTGATCCTGAGACTGGCTTGGCTCAGAACCAGTGCTACCCACAATGAGTGCTGTTACCTGTTCATTTTAAGTGTTTTCCTCTTTGCTCCTCAGGCCAGAGATCCATCGGTCCATGCAGCTATTCTTGCTCACCTGAACCAGAAGTATGGATCTGGTTCTGCAGCTGCAGAACTTTCAAACACAGAGAAGAACAAAGAGGCAAGTGGGACCATCTATGCATCCTGGTTGCACCTTACACCTGAGCTGTTTTTATGAGTCGGGCCCAGTTTGTTGTCCTCCATCCAAGTGTGGAAAGACATTGTTCTGTTTATTTTATGAGGTATAAGCTACATTTAGATTTGTTGTTTTCTAAAATGGGATTTTCCTTTATTTTCCATATTTAATAGGATCTAACAAACCCTAAAGAGAAAGACGTCCCCAAGCCAACCACTGACCTCTCTGAAGACCTGTTCAAAGTTCATGATTTTGATGTTAAGATTGACCTTCAGGTCCCCAATGCAGGTGAGGGGATTTATTTCATGTTGCAGCTCAGAGGCAGAATACCAGCATTTATGTTCTGATCAATAAAAGATGATGTTTGTGTTCTGCACATAAACTATTTTCCATTCTCCTGCAGAAGCAAAGTCCCTGTCCGTGAGCTCCAACGCGCTGCCGGTGAAGGACAGCGCTCCCCGGCGCTCCCTAAACCTGGAGGACTACAAGAAAAGGAGGGGCCTGATCTGATGTGGGCAGCCCCTCGTTCAGAAACCATTCTGCATGTGTAACTGGTTGTGCTGGAGAGAGTACATGTGTGTTTGGTTGGGCGAAAGTGACACTGTGCACATGAATGACTCCTGGAGGATGTGTTTGAAATTCAACACTCTTCACCCAAGCAGAGGAAGTTCTGATTGATCAACGACAAACCTTTTCTCAAAGGATCACTCTTGGAATAAACATGTTGGGGAAATCTGTTTTGTTGTTTATTACAGACAAGCTTGTGTATAGTGAGTTTGTCTTTTTTTAATTTAACTTCTCTGCCTCTCACCTAGACTCTACACTTGTTCTGTTTGTTTCCAGAAATACAGCCTTTGGACAAATATACAATCTTAGGATGGAAAAAGTATGTTCAAACATTACAAACCTAAACTGGCAATGAAGTGGATGGGTTTGTTTTCACAAACAATAAATCCCTGCTGTAAACCTCTTGCCCTTATAAGTGAGTTTCCCCATCTGCACATGCAGCTTTTGGAGAAGGTAAATTATCACGGTCTCTGATTTAACCAGAACACAACTTCCATGAAAAGTTAGAAATGTTGGTACAAGTCAGCTGGACACTTGTGTACTGATAAGGTCTTTGAAAAAGCTTCATTTATAATGAAATTTTTATATTGTTTTCTGGGTTGGCCCTGGTGTCATGCCTTTGGATGTTCGTGGGATGAATTCCCAGCAGTGAACTTCCAGAGCAGATTCTACATGTTATTGATTGTGTCTATAGTCAGTTCCTGTATTGATGTGGCATGCCATGTAAATAATATGCATTTTCAAGTGAGTGCAGGAAAAATAAAGAGGCACTGTTTCATAATTTTTTGTGTGGTTTTGTCTGAACTAAAAATTACAAAATCTTTTAATGGGTTGGAATTATTGATTGTTCACAACTTAAAACAACTAGATGTGAGAGGTAATTAAAAATATATACTTTTTGCTTTTTATAATTGTTTTAAATGTTTAAGCCCTGCAAAGAAACTGGAGGATTCTAGTCTTTCCAAATATTGTATGTGCTTTTTTAAAATGCATTTTACAAGTAGTTCTTCTAAAGTAATTTTTAAAGATCACTTGATTATTTACCCTGCCAAAAATGTGTAAATGTTTATAAACACATGTATTTGTCTATGTTAGAGATTTTCCGTTGTTGTTGAAGCTCTAAAATCTGACTAAGGTAAGCTAAATTTCGGTGGAGTCGAGAGCAGGTGGGTGTATTTTTAATCAGGCGTTCCTAACAACACTTTTGGGGGTCCTTCCGGAGCACTTCCTGGTACACGTATTGAGAAACTCACCAACACACTTGGATCCTGTTTGACATACAGGATATAAACACATTTCATCTTGCTTATTCAGACGGATTTCTGCCGACATGTTGAACTGTAAAACCTCGCCGGTAGCCTGGTGATCGTAGACGAGCTAAGCTTAACGGTTTTCCTTCTTCAATGGTACGTTTGGAGATGTTGTCTATTAGCCATCTAGCTTGTTAGCATCAGCAGGAACAGAGTTCATCTAGAACAAACTTTCATTTCTATACTTATACTGTGTGGCACCGTTGTAAATAACCCTGCCTTTGTGGATTTTGGTCAAAAGCAAACAAGTTTGCCTAAATAAACAAAAAAACAGTCAGCTATGAGCTTAATCGTTAGCATCAAAAGGCTAGCATTTATCTGTAGGCTGTGTCTCAATTCAGGGTCTGCATCCTACCTCGGCCGGATTCGTCGGCCGGTTACGTCACAGCGCCGCGACTCGGCCTGTCCCAATTCGAAGACTCCTTCAAATGCGGTCGACGAATGCGGCCTTCTTTTCGCCTGAATGAAGGATGGGTCGGGTGTATCCTTCAATAGGTAGCATTTCCCAAGATGCCTTGCGGGCCGGCCGGCAGAAAAACTTAAAAACAATGGCGGACAGTGAAGCGGGAGCTGTCGGAGAGGATTGCGCATATAAATGTAAGTATAAACTTGAAAACTGTCAGTTTAAGGACTTTTTGTGATACATGAACGTTATTTTAGTTAGAAATGTTACAGTAAAAGTGCTTGTATTGCGGTATCGGCTCGTATGTTCGGCCGCGCTCGGTGTCGTACTTCTCCCACTACGTTTCCCCCTGATTTTAATAGAAGTTTGTATTTTAGGACCAAAAGAGAAAACCAGGGAATTTATTAAGCTTAGGGCGGAGATGGACCACATGATCACCGGAGCAAAGTATTCGGCGGCTGTGGCATGGAGGTACAATAACATCTCATATTTTAAAAACTCGTTTGAGTATATTTTTTTCTGCGAAAACATGAAAGGAATAACCCGTTGTCCTCTTTTCTCTTCCTGTTTCTTTTCTTACATGTTTGTTAAGACTATTCTGGAGAAAATGGGCATGCAGGGGAAGGTGCCAGCGATGAGCTTCTGGAGCTGATCTGGGAGGACATGAGGCTGCAGAGCAGCAGAGAGCACAGGAGAGAAGGAAGAACTTTGACAGCTTTTTACTTTGCTAGAAAAAAATGGTTAATGAAGATTAAACATGTACATGTAAAAGAAATATCTAAATAAAATCAGTTCTGCATTAAACTCTTGAATTTTATTTTTGTTTACAAATGAGAATTGTTTACTAGAGGGTATCCGCTGGGTCTTGAAAAGTCTTAAAAGGTGATAAATGGGTTTTGGTCAAATTAAGACCCTTAGAAAGTATTAAAAACTATTATCACATCTTTGCTCAGGCTCAGCTAGTCTAAAGTATTTTCTCTGAATTAGCTCTCCAACAGTCAAGGAAATGATTAACCCCCAGAGACCCACGGTTGTAGTATCACAACATCAGATTTAAGTCTACAAAAATAAACCTTCCCCATTTTTTTTCTTTTTAAAACCCACATTTACATTGCTAATAGGTCCTATTCAGTTCTGCAACACTATTGGCTGTTAAAATGTGTAAATAGGCCCGTTTATCTGGCCTCCTAGAACAACATGTGAAAGGTTAAAAATATTTTGCAGTTGTTTTCTAAATTTGGGTTTCTGGGGGTTAAAAAGCTAAATAAAACGTCGAGCTCCATCGTTTAAGGTTCCTTCTGCCCAGCGGTTCCACGGTTGCTAGGCGACGGAACGTTCGCCGAGGGAGTTCATGAAGGCTAGGCCTGTCCAAATTCACAGCCGTTAACATCCGGTCTACCCGGCCGACGGAGGACGCAGCCCACGTCGGCCGGGTGGGCTGGGTCCTTCGAAGGATGCAGACCCTGAATTGAGACACAGCCGTAGCTTCAGCTGCATCAACGTATTTTAATTTGTCCCTTGTCATCCTGGTAGTTTCAGCTAACTCGTATATTTGAATCACATCTAAAAGGGTGAACTATTTCTTTGCCTGGATTTTTATTGTAATTCCGTGTTGTTGTTTTCTCAAAATTGTTTAGTTTTTGGCACAAAATACCATCCACTGATTTAACAAAGATTTGATCATTTTATAACTTACAGCTAATGTATACATCTGAAATTATTTTGTAAGACTAAATAATATTTAAATAGTTTCAGTGTTCTGAACTTCAAATAACAGACTTTATCCTGTAACATTTCTGAGTATTTTCTGGAACAAAAGCCGATTAAACCTCTCTCTAATGTAATGTCTCTGCCATCAGAATACAGAATGGCTTGGTTTGCTGAGTTGGCTGGAAAAGCTGAGGACTTCCTGAATAAGGTGGACCAAGGAGCTGCCACTGCCCTGAGCAACAGCCAGATGAAAGCATCCTCTTTTTCATCAGGAGAATCTGTTGTTGCATTGTACGAGACCGAGCCAGCTGGGACACATCACACCTTTGCATCCTCTCATGATGCAACAAGCTACATCTCTGCTGCAGCAAGTAACATCAAGAAATCCAATGCAACGCTGCTGGCTGGGACGGCCAATGTGCCCTTGACCCCTTCTGCTTCTGGCAGTACCATTTCAAACTCTAAGACCTCTGCTGGCTTTGTGAGGCCCAAAAAGAGCGAGCAGGATGTGGACGATGACATGCTCTTTAACTTCCTGAACAGCTCTGAGCCTCCAGTCAGCAGCAGGAGGGATTCAAGAAGAGAACTTGTGAAAGCAGCAGCTCCAGTCACTGAGGCACAAAACCCAACGCCTCCCCCCTCCACCACTCCCCTTGCTATCCCCTCAGCTCCATCTACTCCTCCTTCAACCCGCGGTGTATCAAGAGCATCGAGCATGAGCTCACTATCTGCTCACAGCATCAAAACATCAGAGGAGAATCCTGCTAAAGATCAAAGCCAAGGTCTGAGCTGAACAACAGGCTGCAGTCAGACTGTTTTTACAATCAACAAAACTTTATTTGCTCAAGAGCAGTAGCTGCTGCCTTCTCTTGTACTGGGAAAAGGTGTTTCTAAATGCTTATTTCTCTTCCATTACCACAGACACACCTGAGAGGTCAGACTCCAACTTAGTTCCCTCTCAGGACTCCAGCCAGCTGGAGCCCCCTCCCCCCACAGAGGAGCCCCAGAGCCACATCCTGTCCAGCCTGCGTCTGGAGAACCAGCTGCTGCGCAGTGAGGTTGTTTCTCTCAACCAGGAAATGGCCTCGGTCATTCAGAGAGCAAAAGACTTACAAGATGGTAATAATAATAATAATAATAATAATAATCACTCAGTAAGCCTTACATAGATTACATACATGTAGTTTTTATTTTTGATTAATTATTTTTTGACTCTTAGAGCTGAATCAGGCTCGTCTACGTGCAGACAGATGGAACTCAGAGCAGTCTCAGAAGGACCGCACGTTACGAGAACTTAGGTCGCAGGTGGATGACCTCACAGAGGCCCTCTCTGCCAAAGATGGACAACTCGCAGTCTTGAAAATCCGACTGGATGAAGCCGATCAGCTTCTGAAATCCCGCAGCGCTGCGTTAGAAGAGGTGCAAAAGGAAAAGTCGAGGTAAACATTATTCACCGCTTTCTGAAATTAAAATGTTTAATTTTTTACATGATTTACTACTTTTTTCCTCTAGAATTATGCAGGACCACACAGAAGGGAGCAGTATGCAGAACCAAGCACTTGAAAAGACCCAGGAGAGGGTGCGAGAGGCGGAACTGTCTCTCAGAAGAGAACAAGACAGCTATCGACAGATGCAGGTAATTATTCCTTTTGTATTTGTGGCTGGTGAGTGTTAAAAGTATTGTGAGACTCACTAGTTCTCTGCTGTTATACAGAGTGAATATGCAGGCCGCCTGGCTAAATTAGAGGCTGAGAGGCAGGCTCTTGCTGAGACGGTGACTGCAGCGGAGCGACGAGCTGTAGAAGAGAAGTTCCGGGTCGATGACCTTCAGCAGCAGCTGAAAAGTTCCAAAGCTGCAGCCGAGTCTGCGAAGCAGGAGCTACAAGACTACAAGCACAAAGCGTCCCGCATCTTACAAGTGAGACCCTTAATACTATTTTATCTGCTTGTCAGATTGCACCTGTACGTTTTAATTGTGTCTGAAATGTTTCTTAAGTCCAAAGAAAAGCTGATTAGCAGTTTGAAAGAGGGATCAGGTCTGGACATACTAGATGGCAGCGGGACCATGATCCTGGAGCTCGAGGAGCTCCGACATGAAAAGGAGCTTCAGAGGGAGGAGATTCAAAAACTACAGGCGCAAGTGAGCGCGCTGCGGTCAGAAATACAGGTGAGCTTTATGAAATGGTAGTAATTTATAATCCCTACTTCTTTATGCTGTGGTAAAATATTCAGGTGACTCGGATTAATTCTCTGTCATTAAACATCCAAAACTCCACTGAGATTTGACTTATTCAGTTTTAAAGTCTAATTTCCTCCCAGGATGTGGAGAATCAGGCCCTGGCAGAGACAGAAACTTGGCGGGAGCAGCAGGTGCAGTTACAGGAACAACAGGCCTTACAAAACTGGGCCAAGCAGGAGTTGGAGGCTGAAGTGGAGCGCTACAAACACGTAAGAGACCTATGATCGTGTCTAAATACCACCCTGACAAATGCAACATAATGTCTTAGAATGCTGTTTTAGGAGCTACAGTATCTTGAGGATGAGCAACACCGAGCCAAAAGCACTCTGCAGATCCGCATTAAAGACCGAGAAGATGAAATCCAGAAACTCAGGAATCAGGTGAGCAGCGGCGTCTCGGCATGCTCATTTTAAGATGCTCCACACAAATCAGCTTTGATCATCGATTTCCTGGTTTTTCTTTGCTCCTCCAGCTGACCAATAAAACGATCAGCAGCAGCAGCCAGACAGAGCTGGAGAATCGACTCCACCAGCTGACAGAGACGCTCATCCAGAAGCAGACCATGCTGGAGGCTCTGGGCACAGAGAAAAGCTCCCTGGTCTTTCAGCTGGAGCGTCTGGAGCAACAGCTGAAGAGTGCTCAGGGCGGACAAAGTGGAGGGCCGACCATCAACATGAGCAACCTAGAGGGTCCGGGTAGGAGGAGGAGTTGTTTGGTTCTCTTCAACGTAATTTTGAATAGTTGTTCTTGTATTAAAAGTATTTCACTGACTGCCAGGAGCTCGACAGAGAAACTTGCCTGTGCTCTTCAGTGACCAGGACAGTCGAGGAGTGTATGGCAAAGTACGCAAGGCAGCCAGCACTATCGACCGCTTCAGGTAAGATTATTTCATCGGTGATGTTGGTTTCCTGTTTGTAACCTGCACAGTAGTGAGTGAAATGTGTTTTTCCTGCAGCATAAGACTGGGAATCTTTCTGAGGCGCTACCCTATGGCCAGAGTTTTTGTTATTCTATATATGGTGAGGACTTATTTAGGACATGCGGGTTGTTCAGTTATGTCTTTACCTGTTTGATTTTCTGTTTTGTTTTTTCCAGGCGGTATTGCACCTGTGGGTCATGATTGTTCTTCTGACTTACACACCTGAAATGCACAGTCGTCCTGATGGAAGATAGAAGGCTTAAAATCTGAGTTAGAAATGGTTTTATGGCCTTCAGTGTGAGGAAGCTGCTGGAATCGGGGATGTGGGACCTGACTCTTCCTATTTTGCACAGATATATTATGAACTAAAGACATTTGTTGTGATTTATTCCGCTTCTAACTAAGGATTAAAGGCCGACCGCTGCATTTGGGTTTTTAAAGTGAAGTTATATAAAGTGTTGATCTAAAGCTATATAAAAATCATCTTGCATCTCATATGCACTCGGTTCTCTGTTGTTTTGAGAGATTATGTATGTTCAACACTATGTAAAAAGAAAAAATAAGCTTTTAATAAATAAGTTAGATGATGCGACAGTTAATTTTTTGCCTCTGTTCAGACTTGGATGCTGAGTTAAATCTTTAGAAAATGTTTTGCAATTCAGTTACATAAAGAAGTTGGATAAACAATAAGGGTTTGTATTTCTATGCAAAAAATGACTTCACATCGAGTTTCTACACAGTGCATGGTATTTTCTTTAGTAGGGGTGTAGGTGCATTTAATGTGTGTGTGAGAGAGAGAACTAATGCATCAGATACTTAATATATAATAAACTAAGATCACAGAAAAGGGGAAATAAATCAAAGTAGCATCTAAGGATCTATAGATGATCCTCTCTTAACTAAATGCAGATTAGACAAAACAAAACCGATAGTGGTAAGGGAACTCCTTTGGCTCACCTGTAAGGTTTCCAAATTGTTACCTGCAGGTTTCATGTTAAATGTTGGATTTCCCTTTAATGAAAGCATCACACCTGTGAAGCATGTTAGTGGTGATATCAGCTTTGGGCTTTCTTTTTCTGCATTTTAAACCAAGAAAAAGTGCTGTCTTTGATTTTATATACATAAATTTTTAAATGAAACTAAAGTTGAAGAAAACATAGGTCATGCTGAGTAAAATACAAGTCTCAACAACCTTTACAAATGTTCAAGCAGTATGTTTTTGTTTAGGCTGATTTAATGCTGTGGAATTCACAGAAATGAACATTTTGTGAGAGGACTATAATAAAGGTGTTTTTTTTAAAGTGGCAGGTTTTTCAACATACTTAAACAGTAAATGGTTTTGTTTGAATGGATCCCAACATTCAATTCAAGTTTATTTATATAGCACCAAATCATGACAAGAGTCGGCTCAAGGCACTTCACATAGTAAACATTCAAATACAGGTCAGTTCATTAAGCCAATCAGTGAAAAGTTTCCTGTATAAGGAACCCAGCAAATTGCATCAAGTCACTGGCTAATGTCAACGTCTTTACAGCAATCCTCATACTAATTAAGCATTTAGCAACAGTGGAGAGGAAAACTCCTTTCTAACAGGAAGAAACCTCCGGAGGATCCTGGCTCAGTATAAGCAGCCATCCACCACGACTCACTGGGGATCAAGAAGACAGAGCAGACACACACCAACACCAACCCACCTACACACACATCCAAACACACTACTGTAGCTTCTTCTGGGGAGAAAACACTTAAGAGGAAAAATAAAGTTAACAGCTGAAATAGCAGTTAAAGAGCAAGGTGTAGAAGAAAGTAGTAGAGTGTGGAAAGTGGTCAGTATGTCCTCCAGCAGTCTAAGCCTATAGCAGCATAACTACAGAGATAACTGGATAACCTAGCCTTTTAGATGGAGGTATGTTGGAGGCAGGGCAAGGGAGAGCCGTCTTTTCCGACTGTATTATCCACCTCCCTCTACTCCCCCACTTGTCCAGATCTGGGCTAACATCAGATTTTACCCATAGGCCCTATCAATCTGGTTCCACAAGAGAGGAGCCTGATAGATAAAAGATCTGCCTCCCATCCTATTTTTAGATATTCTGGGAACCACCAGTAAACCTGCAGTCTGAGAGCGAAGTGCTCGGTTAGGAATGTATGGAACAATCAGGCCACTGATGTATGATGGAGCTTGAATATTAAGAGCTTTATATGTGAGAAGGAGGATCTTAAAATCTATTCTGAATTTAACAGGCAGCCAATGTAGGGAAGCTAAGACAGGAGAGATATGACCTCTTAAATTCTCATCAGAACTCTAGCTGCAGCATTTTGGACAAGCTGAAGACTTTTAACTACATTCTGTGGACTTCCTGAGAGTAATGAATTACAGTAATCCAGTCGTGATATAATAAATGCATGAACTAGTTTTTCGGCATCACTCCTGGAAAGGATGCTTCTAATCTGTCACAGTCTGGGGTTTCTCCTTCCACTCACTAATTTGTTTTGTTTTCCTTCTGCAGGTGGGCGTGTCTGGAAGTGGGGAAGCTGCAGATCATCTGCTCTTCAGGGCCACCTGAGCTACACCTTCACTTCGCTGAATGATTAGCTCAACTTGGGTATTACCTGTCAGCCAATTCTGAGAAATAAGATTTAGCGTATTTTAGTCTTTTGAGTATTTGTTCGAGTTTGTTAGATTGTGTATGCCTAACCACCCTCTCAACCATCTCTGCAGACATCACCCCACTTCCACCTCTGACCGACTGCAATCTGGAATTCTTCGACTCCCTGTTCGTCTCTCAGCCCGTCCCTGGCCTCCCCACTTCCAACAACCCACCTAAACCCTCCCGGATCTTCACAAGCCTCCTTGCTCAGCTCCCTCCACCTCAAACCCTCAGGAATCCTGCCGCAAGTATGCTCCCTTTCCCCGGACCAGACCATCTCTCCTCTCGAGTCATCCTCACTTCAAGACCGTAAGTCCTCTAAACCCCACAATCTATTCAGTTCTCATATACCGGACCTAAACTCCCTCTGTCTCCAGATCTCCACACCGGAATCCCGTCCAAAAACTCAGCCTGATTTTACGCTGCTCCTTTAGTTCTCCTTAGAATGAATTATTGTTTGAACTCCTACCTTTGTCAGTGGGCTGATTCTGTATCGAGAACTCAGTTATAAAAAACTCAAAGGTTATCAAAAGTGGCCAGAGAGGACTGGATTATGTGGAAATATCGTTATTTCCTCACACTCTATGCCATAAGTCAGCACAAGGTCTAATGTATGATGGCAGAAGCAGGTGGAGCTATGTATTCTTTGGGTAAAACCAAATGAGTCTAAGATACTAAAAGCTACATTGAGGCTATCACTTTTAATGTCCACATGAATGTTAAAATCCCCCACTATAATGACCTTATCAGTATTTAGCACCAAATCAGATAAAAAATCAGAGATCTGATCTAAAAACTCAGAGTAAGGGCCTGGTGGACAATATAAAACTACAAACAAGAGTGGTTTTACAGTTTTGCTATCTGGATTAGGAAAACACAAGATGTTCAAAAGAACTGTAACTATTAATTGGTAAGGATTGATTAATAGTCTGAATGAAAAATGGTCGCTACTCCTCTTCCTCGCCCTGCACTTCGAGCAATATGATGATTTAAATAATTAGAAGGAGTCGACTCATTTAAACTTGCATAGTCCTCTTGCTGCAGCCAGGATTCCGTGAGAGAGAGCAAATAAATCTGATTATCACAAATCAAGTAATTAACTAACAAATTCTTAGAAAAAATAGACCTAATGTTCAATAACCCACATTTAATTTTTCTAGTTTTCAGCTCAGTTGAATTTGTTCTAATATTTATGAGATTTCCATGATTTCCTTTATTAAGCCTGATATTTAATCTGTGTGATGTTGGCCGTGGGCAGGACACTGTCTCTATGGGGTAGTGGGTGGGTAACAGTACAGAAGCTGCAGAGGGTTGTGTTAAACTACGACTCTGCTTCCTGGTCTGGACCCTGGGTTGTCATGGAGGACTAATAAAAATGGCCATATTACTAGAAAGAAGAGCTACTCCATCCAAGGGGGATGGATATCGTCTCTTCACATCAGACCAGGTTTTCCCTAAACGAATTCCAATTATCAATGTAGCCCACATAGTTTTCACGATTTTTTTTGTTAAACAGTGAAGTAAAAATTAAGCTACATATACACTGTAAAATTTATTTTATTTATTAATTGTATTTTTAATAGTGCTCCTCTCTGGTTTGTTGGTCCTCCAGTATCCCACAATGCACCGCTGCTGAGTTCCGTATCCACGTCAGAGCTGTCACGGAGAAGAGCTGATAATGGCTACAGTTGAGGTGGCACTTTTAGGTGTTTAGGCTGCCAGTAAACTGCTAAATGTGAGACTAAAGCGGGTTTCAGACATCAGCCACGGCGGCAAAAGCTCACAGCTATCGTAATGTTTGACCGGCTTTTAATTCAATGTCGTCTAACGCTGTTGTTTTTGACGAATTCCTTCAGGCGAGCGGCCAGCTGTTGTTAGCCGGGTGCTGTGCTCGCTAACCAGCGTCTGATCAATCTGCGAAGACACTTAGTTACGGTTTAAATAGGTGGGTTTAACGTTAACGGGGTTCCGGTGGTGTGGAGGCTACAGCTGAGCCTAATGACCGAGCTAACGGAACCGTTCTTGAGGTCAAAGCAAGGCTAGTCCCCCAGCCTCCGTTCTTCGGTTTGGTGTTTGTTGATTTTATTTGTACCGTTGAAGATGTCATCGTGGCTGGGTGGACTGGGCTCTGGCCTCGGCCAGTCTCTGGGACAGGTCAGCGGGAGCTTGTCGACCTTCACCGGCCAGATATCCACCTTCACCAAAGACATGTTACTGGAAGGTGTGGAAGAAGTGGGAGGTGAGTTTTGAGTTCCTGCTTTGGGAAATGTCCAGATTTCAGTCGGACTGCACGCGCAGATCAGGATCCTCATGCGCACGCAGTAGTTATTTAACTAATTGACTTAACTTAGACTTATATATGCTATGTATTGGAACTGGTCGCCAGGTTTCTGGAACTAATGAAATATTTAATGAGTTAAATGGATAAAAGGTGACCGTCATATGAAGGGTTAAATGTATTCATCATGTTTTGTATCCGATTGACGTCATAAATAATTATCCAACCTGATTTTACACAGTTCTGATAGACACAGATCTTTTAAATGAAAATCTTGCTCTGCCCATCTACCAACCAGTATGTGCGCGTAGGGCCCCGGGCCCCAATGTAAAAAATCTGAACAGATTAGATGAAAGCAGAATGCCTGGAATTCCGTCAAAGAGGAAGTTGTGTTGGCAAAAGAATTCTTGTTTGATGTGACTTGGCTTCCTAATATGAACTGAAGACGAGCTTTATACTGAAGCCAACTTCTGATGACTTTGTGCTTTTGTTGCATATTAAAGAGTCGTAATAAATTCCTCTTAGATTTCTGTTTCATAACATGGGCCTAAAAATTAGATTATGATGTAACTGTTTTCATGTTATGTCAGCTGTGTTGAGATGCTTTCATGAAATCCACAGAAGGTTTTATATATAAATTTTAAATTAAGTTGGTTTTCTTATTACTGCATTTTATTTAAGTGTTACAATGGCAAGTTTATGTTTTTACCCAGAATTCAGACTCAGGGCTCCATACATTGTTTGGTTTTTATTAAGTATGTTCGGGTAGTCTCTGTTCTTTATAATTTATATTTGAAGATCTGATCAGATTGGAGCCATTAAACCAAGTCATCCCGTCAGTCAAGCAAACAGATAAAACACGGACAGAAGGGAACTTTGGCCACAGATCTCCAACTCAGCGCATCAGTCAAAACCCAAATGTATGAATTCTTATCTCTGCAAGTTAGAGATTTGTTCACTTCAAAGCTGAATATTTGTTACTGTTTTCAGATTTGTTTTGCTGTGGTTACATTATTTGCAGAGTTTAGTTCAGCTTTTGGATCAAAGTTAAGCCAGTTGTGTTGGAAATGGAGAATAAAAGCTTTTTTGCTCCGAGGTAGTTTGTATCGAAGTGTCAAAGTAAATGAATAAATCCATTTGTATAAAAAATAATGGACAATTGTTTTTGTTAGACTGAAAGAGTAATGCATTTTATTTCAGTCCTTCAGTTTTGTGTAATTTTATATCAACCTGGTTTTGATTTTTGAGTGAAAACAGTTTTTCCTTGATGCTGAGATATTTTTTCCATGTAACCACAGACGCTGCCACAGAACTTCAGGTGTCCAATTCCAAGTTGGCTGAAGTTCAGGCTGGGTTTGCTGCTCAGAAATCTGAGGTTGGATTTTTTTTTCTTCTCTTTTCCAAGTTAGAGTTTTCACAAAAACAATTCAGCTGTTACAGCTGGAGAGGTTTAATAGTAACCAGCTAAATAAGCAGTTAATTTAGCTGATTAGTTAATCATATAGTTCTGATTTAATAGTCAGTCATCCTGCACCTTTACATCAATAAGAAACGGAAAATGTTAATAAAAGGTTTTATTGAATCACACAGAAAGGTGCTGTTCACATATCCTGTTTTCTATTTTCAAAAATTCAGTGGATATTAAGTATAACAAAACAAATTTACATGAAGAATAATAAAAGGTGTATTGTCAGCCAGATGTACACAGTTTTTCTCCTGTAAATACTCAGTAGTGTACTTTAATGTAATCCTAAAAGTAGTCTCCATTAAATAAAGCTCACTATAAGGAATTTAAAGGCTTTGATAAATGCAAGGCAGCTTTATTTATATAGCACATTTCATACAGAGGCAATTCAATGTGCTTTCTATTAGCAAGAACATTAAAATCAACGTGACAGAAAATACAATTTAAAAATTAAAAAGAAACAAAGTTAAAGGGTGAGCAGGTACAGTGCAGAAGGTGCAGCATAGGAACATTTATTCAAAGGCTATTTTGATTTAAATGTTTCTAGATTTGGGGGGCACATTTGAGGTCATAAGGAAGCTGATTCCATCTGTGTGCAGCATAGTAGCTAAAAGCAGCTTCACCCTGTTTGGTTCTGACGCGGGGTTCTACCAGCTGACTGCTTCCTAACAATCTCAAAGCCCTGATGGGCGTATATACCCGAAGGAGATCTGACATGTATTCTGGTCCCATGCCATTGAGTGATTTATAAACTAGTAGAAGTACTTTGAAATAGATTCTTTAGTTTTCTGGTAACCAGTGTAGAGATTTAGGAACAGGAGTGATGTGTTCGATTCTCTTGGTTCTTGTTAGGGCTCTAGCAGCAGCATTCTGAATAAGCTGCAGTTGCTTCAAAGCTTTTGTAGGAAGACCAGTCAAAAGACCATTGCAACAGTCCAGCCTGCTGGAGATGAACGCATGAATGAGTTTCTCTAGGTCCTGTCTGGACATGAGACCTCTGAGTCGTGCTATTTGATGCAGATGATAAAATGCTGATCTAGTTATAGCCTTAATGTTACCAGCGAAGCTCAGGTCTGAATCAGTTACACCAAGATTTCTAACCCGGGTCTTTGTCTTTATTCTTCCGGAGCCAAGTTTAGCAGTAACCTCCATCCTGTCCTTCTTATTTCCAAAGACAGTAACTGCAGTCTTGTCTTTGTTTAACTGGAGGAAGTTTGATTGCATCTAATCCATAACTTGCTCCAAGCACTGAGAGTGAGTCTAGAAGATCACAGTCACTTGGTGATAGGGCTAGGTAGATCTGGGTGTCATCTGCATAACTATGATGGGTAATGTTAGTGTTTATGACCTGACCCAGGGGGAGCATGTAGCGATTAAAGAGCAGTGGTCCAAGAATGAAGCCTTGGGGGACCCCACATGTCACGGTGATCACTTTTGATTTGTGACCAATATAGACAACATAACCCCTGTCTTCAAGATAAAGATTGGAACCAACTATGGACTGTGCCTGAAAGTCCCACCCAGGTTATGAACCTATTGAGAAGGATGTTGTGGTCCACAGTATTGAAAGCTGCAGTGAGATCGAGCATCACCAAGACAGATGTTTTGCCTGAATCTCTATTTAGACAGATCCCATTAATAATTTAATAAGTGCAGTCTCAGTGCTGTGATGTTGTCTAAAGCCTGACTGGAAACTATCTAGCAAGTTGTTTGTCTCTTTAAAAGTTGTTCAGCTGGATCAAACAGCTTTTTCAATAATTTTCCCAATGAAAGGGAGATTAGAGATTGGTCTGTAGTTATTCATTGCTAAGGGCTTATCTTTAAAGGAGTTATCGTCACTTCCTGTTTTAACTCTTCATAAAACACATATTCTGAACGGCCTTTGACACTATTTGACGTTAAGAGGAACAAAATGTAAGAATGCTACATTGAAATGATCACAAAACACTCTAGTGTCTCATTCATGTTAGAAGTAAGGCTAGAGGCTAATATTGAGCTAACCATGCTAACGGTGAATTGACAACAAATAGTCGGGTATAAGAATGAGAAATGACCTGCGCTTTGGAGTCGGAGGACTCCAATGCGCTTTACACTACAGTAAGTCATTCATCTGTTCACACACACATTCACATGCTCGTGGTGATGAGCTACAGTGTAGCCACAGCTGCCATGGGGCGCACTGACGGAGGTGAGGCTACCGAGCACAGGCACCACCGTTCCCTCTGACCACCACCAGCAGGCAACGTGGGTCTTCCTCAACGACACAACAGCAGTGTTCTCTGCCAGGAGCCGGGATCGATCCTACAAACCTCCAATTACTGAACACCCTGCTCAATCTCCTGAGCTGAGATTTTAGTTTTGAACTCTACATTAAAAATGAAAGGCCCAGCTTTCCCAGAGAGAGTCTGTATTGCCACCACCGTTCATGCTCGGACCACCTCATGTTGACATATGCTAGAGTTATACACATTGAGGTGAAATCGATTAGTCCATGATGTCATACATGATCTGTCAGTGCTCAGAGTTTGTGTTGTGATTGACTCTCAAATGCTAACAAATCTAGTTTTAGCTTAACATTTGTTAAACCGACCAAGTTAAAGCTATTTGCAAGGCTGGATTAACCATATGGGCAACTGGGCAATTGCCCAGGGGTCCACGAACTCTAAAGGGCCCAGGCCCAGGGCAGCAAGGGCACGAGCAAAATACTGTATCTGTAATCTCCCACTTTATATTAAACTAGGGTCACCATAAGCCCTCTTTTTTCCGGACATGTCCACTTTTCACTCTCTGTCCGGGGCGTCAGAGCGGGTTTCTTGTATTGATGAAAATGCCCAGTTTTTCATCCAGGAGCAGGGATCGAATTAAGGGGGAGCTGGATATCCTACACATCCAGGGAGAGCCAGAAAAAACTTTTCTACCTATATTACATCATTTATGGACTCTCAGTGTACCGGGGGTTCTTTGAGCGGAGAGCACAGAGAGCTGATCGTTGGTGCGCTCCAGGCAGCTGCTTCCAGCGCACGGTCCATTCTCAAAGTAGCGCAACCAAAAAACTATAATTAACACACGATCGTTCATGTTCGCACATGTTCTCTACTTTCTGTCTTATTTGTGCCTGAAGCGCTCTGCTACTGTGGAGCTCATCACCTGTGCTGCAGTGATTGTAAAAGCTCCTCAGACATTACTGGCATGTTCTAATATTATCAGACGAAAAACTAAATTATCAGACATGCTGTCTCATCTGCTGCTTTTCTAAACTTGTAAAAAGTAACAAAACCATTTGAAAGCCACTATTTGTGGATTCTCTGAAAGTTTCCATGGAGTGTGTGACAACTTATTTTTTCATTGATCCTATCGTCTAATCTCCCAGCTGAAACAAGCATCCTTAAAAATCTGTGCACAGGAAGCTTACCGATGCTGTAGTAAAACAAAAGGTATAATAATTTATTATTAATAAAACCTTGTTGCAGCACTAAAGCAGAAAAATGAGATTTTGCATTAAATATGCTAAATATTTACATATGAATTGTTTTAGAGCCCTTTTATTGGCAGAATCTGATATTAATTTAGTTCTTACAAAAAATGGGTCCCAGCGTGGTTTGTGTGGCGTTGCCATAGTGTGACGTCATAGGCACAGATCCCCTGTCCTCTTGTTTGGAAATGGAAATATGATCACCCTATATTAAACAAACTGTCCACCCGGGCATTGCACTGCACAGAGACGCTTCGCTGCCTATGACTGAACGTCAGTTGAGAGTCAGTCTCATGCAGACTGACCAATGAAGAGAGGGCCTCAAGTTAAGACCCTCCTCATTGGTCAGTCCACACGAGGTGGGTCAAAGGTTACCCTGAGTGGGTTACGTGACGTCAGGCATTCAAGTATTGAGTATATTTACTGCATATTACAGTAAAATATTCTGTATGTGACCATATTATGATCCTAGGGCCGTGATGATGGGGCCCTTTAATATTGTTGCCCAGGGTACAACAAAGTGTTAATCTGGCCCTGGTTATTTGGTTTGGCTTTTTTCAATAAAATGGGGCTAACCAACCTGAGTGATGAACATCTAAAGATTTTTTTTTACATCAAAACTGCTTCATGTTCATGCTAACAGACACATCTACCTTTTCATGGTGTGCAGTAACATTATTATTAGCATCTGTGTGGGTCAGTGTGATCTTCTTGCTGAAGGAGGTTGAAGTTTGTCTCCATCTGAGTGTACCTGGACTGCAGTGACCTCTGATGTGTATCACTGGCCCTGTTTCTGCTTCAGGTCATTTCCTGTTTAAGTTTATGTTTGCTAGTGACACTTTCCTCCTTCCTGTTTGACTTTTGCAGTACGACAGATTGAAAAAGCTTCAATCAGAGCTGGAGGAGAAGCTGGAGGCTTCAGAGATCCAGATTAAACAGCAGTCAGCAGAGTACAGAACCCTCCTGCAACAGAAAGATGTACGTACATGACATTTGTGTCTGTAGTGTTACAGGACAGGTTCTGGATATGAAACCCGTGTTTGTGTTACCCAGGTGGAAATCAGCCATCTGAAAGCTCGGCAGAGTGGACTCCAAGAAGAAGTCCAGAAGCTCCAGCATTCAGCCCAGTCGGCCTCAGTCTCCCCTGCAGTTCTGCCAGTCACCACTGCTTCCTTGACCACTACTTCCTCTTCTCCTTCTGGCTTCCTGACTCATGCCTCAGGGTCTCATCGGGGCTTCCACGGCGACGAAATCGACATCAGCGACGTTCTTTGGTCACAGCAAGAAATCAACCGGCTGTCGGCAGAAGTGATGCGTCTGGAGGCAGAGCTGGGACACTGGAGGAGAATGTCTCAGGTAACACCGGCCGTGGTCATCACGGTGGAGGTTTAGTTGTGTTTCAAATCTGAATTATTTTCTTATCCTGATTAATCTAAATCACAGTTCACCACTGTAATTTATTAGCAAGTCTTTTTGCTTCTATCATACATTTTAAACGCACCTCTGTTATCACGTATGTCTTTTCTAATCCTCGTTATTGTGTCTGCGGTACAAGGTGGGTCAGTGGGAGCACCCTTTATTTTGTGTTATGAAAATAGTAGACTATTTTGTTCTAGAGGTCCTGGTAACTGGAACCTCAAACCATCTGTGACTTTTACTAAAAGCAGACCTGTGAGCATCTAAATCAGCCAGCAGGACTAAAGGCTGACCCAGATCCTGCTCTCGTTCTCGACAAAAGACACAAACTCATTTTTCGTTATCGAGAATTAAGAAAACAATCAACCCAACCGATTCGGGGAATCGGATCCGTTTCTTTTACTTCACTGTACCAACTGAGTTTTACAGATGTTTTTCCACAAAAGTCAAACTTTGTTCTTTTCATGAAGTATTTCACGTTTGCCACATTGTTGATCAGGTAAAACATTTATTTATTTTTTTATTACTCAAAGCAGTTTTTGCATGTAAACCTTTTTGCCTCTAGCTGTCTGCTTCCAGAGAGGATGGGGCTGGCGTGTTTAGCGGATTGTATTCTGCTGTTTCAACACTAGATGGCGCCAAATGTTTCACACAGCTCTACGCTTCTGTGATTATTCTGTTCCAGGCGTCATCAACATCAGGAACTGCTAACGGCGACCAGGGGGAAATTCTTAAGCTACAAAAGACGATTAAGGTAGACGTTTCAGCTTCTTGCACACACACTGGATTTCATAATAAAGTGTGTGGTCTCTGACCACAGCATTATTCACTAGTAAGGAAACAGAGATGGTTACTTGTGGAAACAGGAGCTGCGAGATGAGTTGAGCCGAGAGGTGGACGAACATCAGCATGAGCTGACAGCTCTGCAGGATGCGCAGCGGCAAAAGATGGCTGACGTTACCCGGCGGCACAGAGAGGAGCTAGCAGAGTATGAAGAGAGGATAGAGGAGCTGGAGGAGCAGATTCACAGTGGTCAGCTTTTAACTTTTAACATTTATGGTTTGAATTTTGGAAATAAAATAGTTTGGAATGCAGAGATTTTCTGATGTCTGCTGTAGCAGGAGCATGCATGGAACAATTATCTCTTAACGAGTCGTTGAAGTTTCTTATTTTAACAATCATCTGCAGAAGTCAGTTCCTCATCGGATGCCTCCAAAGAGCTTGAACTTCAAAAAACCATACAATCCCTTAAAGAAGCAGCAGAGCAGCACAAGCAGCAGCTGGAGGATGCACAGAGGAAGCAGGTCGCCCTGCAGCTGGAGAGAGACGAAGCCCAGGAGGAAAACGCCGGGCTGCTGCAGAACTATGCCCGGCTGCAGGCGTCCGTAGCTGAGCTCCAGACTCGAGTGCAAGAGCAGGAAGGAAAAGCTCTGCAGAAAGCTCAGTTGGAGCACGAGATCCAAATGTTGAGAAGCAACCTCGCAGGTATTTTTAATAAACCTCTCTGTGATTCTTTTATATGTTTAGATTTTTCTTTCCTAATGTGTTCATGTTTTTGTTGCATTGAGGAAAAAACTGACATCCTCATTTATTAGTTTATATATTCATAACGTTTTTGATTTTTAGGTGCAGAAAAAGAAATAGAAAGACTGAGAAGCCTGTCTGAGGCAAGTGTAAACATCAGCAGCTAGTCTTGGCTCATTTGTTACATCTAGTCTGATAGCTCCTCTAACGTTACCTTTCAGACGGAGCCGAGGGAGGAGGTGGAGCACGCAGACATCTTAGAGCTCAACACCATCATTGGAACATTACAGCAAGAAAAGGTTTGTTTCTGATGCTAAAATAAAAGTTTGTGATGGTTTGGGTGGTTGTCATGTGACCAGGTTTGGAAGTTCTGATCATCTGTTGGCAATTTACAAATCTATTTTAAAACCCTCCTATTCATAGCTGGATCTGCAGCAAAGACTGAAGCTGGCCGAGGAACAAACGGTTAGTGATGCTGGAGCAGCGGAGGAGTCGGGACTAAAAGGGGAGCTGGAGAGGAGAGAGAGAGAGCTGAAAGCCACAGAGGAGGAACGAGACACCTTGATGTGTGAGCTGGAGGAGCTGGATCGGCAGAATCAAGAAGCAACCCAGGTCTGACGGCGTCCTGTATTCTAGTACAAGGCCTTTTAGTCATGTTTTAGAGATTTTAGATACAAGAGAGAAAAACAAACCCACTAATGATTCAAAATGAGCTTTTATTTTCTCTTTTTCCTCTATTTATTCCAGCATATGATCAGTGTGAAGGAGCAGCTCTCTGGACAGCTAAAGGAAGTCGAGTCTGAGCTGATGAGAACCACTTCAGAGCTTAAAACAGTCAAAGAGCAGAAAACCACACTGGAGCAGGAGCTGGAGATGCAGAGAGAGAAAGTTAGCCAGAGTGCTTTTAGTCTAAATGACCTGCACATGGAAAAGCAGCAGTTGGAGCGGACAGTGAAGGAGCTGAGGGACAAACTGGGACACGTACAGGAGCAGAGTGCAGAAGCACGTAAAGATGCCACAGACCTGAGGAAGACCCTGCAGGAGCGAGAACAGCAGCTAGCTGCTGCTAAAGCCGTGCAGGATCAAGGAGGACCGAGAGGAACCGAGGCACAGGGAGCTGTGGAGCAGCTCGAGGGTAAGGAGAGGGAATTAGCAGACCTCAGGAGGGAACTGAAGGAAATGAGGAGCTCCAATGAAAGGGTGATGTCTGAAGAATATGAGAGGAAAATGGAGAACAGGAGGTTGAAGGAGGAGTGTGAGAAAGCTTTGGGTAAAGTTGAGGAACTGACCAAACACCTGAAGGAGAGCCAGGCTGCCCTCAGCAGGACGGTGAGGGAGAAGGACACTCGGATTGAAGCTTTAAAGCTGGAGAAAAGTCAGATTGAAGGTGAGTTGATGCAGGCTGAGAGGACTCTGACAGAACAGGTGAAACAGTACCAGCAGACCATCGAGGAGATGACCCGAGCTCGATCCATGGACGCCTCGGCTCTACAGACCCAACACGAGGCTGCCATCAGACTGAACCAGGATAAAGACCTGGAGATCGCCAAGCTGAAGAGAGACCTAGAGCAGCTGGCGTCAGACCACAGAGATACCAATGAGATGCTGTCCATCACAGTCGCCGGGCAGAAGCAGCTGACCGATCTGCTGCAAGAGAAGGACGTGTTTGCAGAGACTTTAAAACAAAACGCTGTCGATTTACAGAAGGAGATGGAAAACAGGATTTCAGTCGTGACCAAGGAAAATGAAGTAATCAAACAGGCGCTGGAGGAAAAAGATAAACAGCTGGGCAGCATGAAGGAGGAGAACAGCCATTTGAAAGAGGAGATCGATCGCTTCAAGGATCAGCAGAGCAGACCTCCACCACTGGCTGAGCCCAAAACCCTGGATATCATCACAGAACTGGAAACGGAGATCTCTCAACTCAAGTCTTCCAAGAATTCCACAGAAGAGGAGCTTCAGGCTCTGAGGAGGACCACAGAGGAGCAGCAGGCCTCCTTCCTTTTGTCTCAGCAGGCTCAGCAGAGCGAGCTTGAGCAGGCTCATGCTCGCCATCAGCAGACAACGCTCAACTATGACAGACTCATCCACGCCAGAGAGGAGGAGATAGCTCGCCTCCAGCAAACTCTAGAGCAGCTTACTGACGGCCAGGGCCGAGGCCTCTTCCCGGCTCCGCAGGGAGTCGTCATCATGCAGGAGCACAAAACGCAGACACTAAACCAGGAGAACGGCAACGAGAAACATGACCTGTCCAAGGGGGAAATAGAAAAACTGGTGAGGGGCATCAAGGAGAAGGAGACGGAGATCAGCCAGCTGAATGAGAGGAACCTCTCTCTCACCAAGCAGTTAGATCAGCTGGTGGTTTCTCGTGATGAAGTGGGAAAGCTCTCTCAAATGATCCGGCAGAAGGATCTGGAAATTCAGGCGCTTCATGCCAGAGTGTCCATGGGTGGAGGACACAGCCAGGACGTGCTGTATCTACAGCAGCAGCTGCAGGCGTTGGCTGTGGAGAGGGAGCAAATGTTAGCCGTGCTGAACGAGAAGACGAGAGAAAACAGCCAGCTGCGCTCGGATTATCACCGACTCATGGATATCATGGCAGGGAAGGAGGCTGCGCTGGTGAAGCTTCAGCAGGAGAATCAGCGCCTCTCCAACATGAGCGATCCCTCCGGGAGCCAGGAGATGTTCAAAGAGACCATCCAGAATCTCTCCCGGATCATCCGAGAGAAGGACATCGAGATCGATGCTCTGACTCAGAAGTGCCAAACCTTGGTGACGGTGCTGCAAGCGTCAGGAGGAGAGCCCGGAGCTTCTTCTGGAGGCGTCAGCAGCAATCAGTTTGAGGAGCTGCTGCAGGAGAGAGACACTCTGAAGCAGCAGGTCAAGAAGATGGAGGAGTGGAAGCAGCAAGTGATCACGACCGTGAAGAACATGCAGCACGAGTCTGCTCAGCTGCACGAGGAGCTGATCAAGCTGCAAAGCCAGGTCTCCGCCGACAGCGACTGCAGCTCCAAGCTGTCGGTGGACTACGCTCGGCTGATTCAGAGTTACGAGCAGAAAGAGAAGCGGCTGGGAGGTTTGAGCCTTGAACTTGCACAGGTTCAGCAGACGATCAGCCAGCTCAGCACAACCAAGGACGTTCTACTTGGTAAACTGGATGGCGTAGCTCAGACTCCAGAAATCGCCGCCACCCAGCTCGGTGATCGTTCTCTCACAGCTGAAGTCCCAAGCCCACCCATAGCTTCGCTTCTAAACGACGACACATTCCAGAAAGAGCTTGAAAAACTGCAAGCGCAGTTAGCTGAGAAAGAAAACCTGATCAGGACTCTTCAAGAGAACAACCACCGACTCTCAAACTCTGCATCTGCTTCAGAGAACGAGCAGAGAAGTCAAGCCGAGGAGGTCCGGCTGCTCAGAGAGAGGCTGGAGTCCTTACAACGGTCCGTGAGAGAGAAAGACCTGCTCATCAAATCCAAAGGAGACCAGCTAATCCACGTGAGCGAGGCTCTACGTAACCGTGACAACGATAACGAGGTGTTGAAGCAGGCCGTGACCAACCTGAAGGAACGGGCTCTCATTCTGGAAATCGACTCGAAGAAGCTGAAGGAGGAGAACGAGCTAGTGGCTGCACGCTCTCGGGAGAAGGAGTCTGAGTTCAGAGCTCTGCAGGAAACCAACATGCAGGTGTCGCTGCTGCTCAGAGAGAAGGAGTTTGAGCTGAGTGCGATCAGCGAGAAGGCTGCTACGGTGGAGAGGATGCTGACAGACAAAGAGACGGTCAGTGGGAGTTTATTGTTTTATCAGCAGAAACATGCTTGTTGCTTTTTAATTCATGTAATCTCCTGCTTTCTAATAACTAAAGTCAGTGCAGAAGTGTCCTGATGATTTGGCGTGATGTTGATGTGACCCCAGGGTAACTCTGGTGAGCTGAATCAGCTGCTGAACGAGCTGAAGTCCATGCAGGAGAAGGCTGTGATGTTTCAGCAGGAGAGGGATCAGATGATGATGGCTCTGAAGCAGAAACAAATGGAGACCACTGCAGTTCAGGCTGAGGTGAGAGGATGGATAACAGGAACAACCCTTCGGTTTTACCCGAAGATATCATGGTCTCATGAAAGTTCTGATCCACATTTTTAGATTTGCAATATCCAGAAAGCAAGAATGTTATATTCCAACAGCCAGTTTAGTGTAAGTATTAATGACAGCAAGTTAAAACAACTGCAGAGGCGATCGTTTCTGTTTGCAGCTGCAGCATGTGAGAGACAAAGAGCAGCGTCTGAACTTGGAGCTTGAGAGGTTACGTAACCACCTGTTGGAGATGGAAGACTCGTACACCAGAGACGCCATCGCTGCTGAGGACCGGGAGACAGAGCTGCGCAGGAAGGTGGCGCTGCTGGATGAGAAACTGGCCTCGTCTTCCAACGCTGTGGAGAATGCCAGGTGTGTGTAACTGTACATCTGCTGCATGTGTAGATGAGTCTGGAATATAAGAGAAGGCAGGCAGCATCAAGGGACGCCACCATGTTCTCATAATTGTGAAATTCGTGTGTTTTGTTTTCAGATTAGCTTTGCAGCATTTTCACTTATCTAAATGGCTGCTGATACGTCTTATGATTGTGTATTTATCTTAGGTAAAACTACAATTATTAATCAGAAAATCTAATCAATTTATTTGCTAATTACCCCTCTACAGTGGGTACGGACAGTATTCAGACCCCGTCAGTTTTTCTGTTATATTGCAGCAATTAGCTAAAATCACTTTAATTCATTTTCCCCTCATTATTGAACACGCAGCACTCCATATTGACAGAAAAACACAGAATTTAAGAAATTTCTGCACATTTATTAAAACAAACTCAAATATCACATGGTCCTAAGTATTCAGACCTTTTGTTCAGTATTTAGTAGAAACGCCCTTTTGAGCTGATACAGCCATGAGTCTTCTTGGTAAAGATGCAACAAGTTTCTTACGCTTGGATTTGGGGATCCTCCTCCATTCCTCCTTGCAGATCCTCTCCAGCTCTGTCAGGTTGGATGGTGAACGTTGGTGGACAGCCATCTTTAGGTCTCTCCAGAGATGCTCAACTGGGTTTAAGTCAGGGCTCTGGCTGGGCCACTCCTTCATTATTTTAGCTGTGTGCTTAGGGTCATTGTCATGTTGGAAGGTAAACCTTCGGTCCAGTCTGAGGTCCTGGGTACTCTGGAGAAGGTTCTTGTTCAGGATATCCCTGTACTTGGCCACAATCATCGTTCCCTCGATTGCAACCAGTCGTCCTGTCCCTGCAGCTGAAAAACACCCCCACAGCATGATGCTGCCACCACCATGCTTCACTGTAGGGACTGTATTTGACAAGTGAGTAGTGCCTGGTTTTCTCCACACATACCGCTTAGAATTAAGGCCAAAAAGTTCTATCTTGTCTCATCAGACCAGAGAATCTTACTTCTCAACATCTCTGGGTCCTTCAGGTGTCTTTTAGCTAACTCCATGCTGGCTTTCATGTGTCTGAGGAGAGGCTTCCAACGGGCCACTCTGCCCTAAAGCCCTGACTGGTGGAGGGCTGCAGTGATGGTTGACTTTCTACAACTTTCTTCGATCTCCTGACTGCATCTCTGGAGCTCAGCCACAGTGATCTTTGGGTTCTTCTTACCTCTCTCACCAAGGCTCATCTCCCTCTGTAGCTCAATTTGGTCGGACAGCCTGCTCTAGGAAGGGGCCCCTACTCTTCCTCCTCTATCTGCTTCCTCTTCAGCACATCCTGAGCTCATTCAAAGGAATCTCCTACCATCTTTATGCAGATGACATCCAACTGTACATCTCCTTTAAGCCCCATGAGATGTCTAAGCTGCAGCTGTTACACACCTGCTTAGACTCTATCAAAACCTGGGTGGCTGGGAGCTTTCTTCAGCTGAATGATGATAAGACTGAGATCCTCATCTGTGCCCCAGACAAGCTGGTTCCCAAGGTCAGAGACTCTCTTGGTCAGCTTGCCTCTCACACCAAACCTTCTGTCAGGAATCTTGGCATGACCTTTGACCCAGCTCTCACCCTGGATTCTCATGTCAGTTCTCTTGTTCGTTTTTCCTTCTTCCATCTCAGGAACATTGCTAAGCTGAGTCCCATTCTGTCCCGCTCTGAACTTGAGACGGTTATCCACACCTTCATCTCCTCACGCTTAGACTACTGTAACTCTCTTTTCACGTGTCTGAGCAGAGCCTCCCTGAACCGTCTACAGGTGGTTCAGAATGCCTGTGCTCGGCTTCTGACCAAGTCCTCCAAATACACCCACATCACCCCGCTTCTCCTCCAGCTTCACTGGCTGCCAGTCATCTTCAGGGTTCATTTCAAGATCCTGGTTCTGGTCTATAGGGCCTTACATGGACAAGCACCATCTTACATTGGTGATCTTCTTAGTCCCTACACCCCCAGCAGGTCCCTGAGATCCAGTGATCAAAGCCTACTGGTTGTGCAGCACCAGGCTAAAGGTCAAAGGTGACAGATCATTTGCTGCTGTGGCCCCCAGACTCTGGAACTCTCTCCCCCTGAGCCTGAGATCAGTGGACTCAGTGGTCTCCTTTAAAAAGCAGCTGAAGACTCACTTGTTCAGGCTTCGGAGTGACCTTCATCACCCTCTCCTTATTCTGTTCTTGCTCCGCCTTTCCCGAGATCCATTGATTTCCCTCTTACCTACTCATTTTCTCTCTCCCTTTCCTTACGTATTTTTTCCTTTTCTCCTTTTAAACATATTTAAATTATTTTTAAATCTTTTTATACTAAAATGTTTTTGTTTTTTGTTTTCGTGAAGCGCCTCATGATTTTTGTCTTGAGAGGCGCTATATATAAGATTGTTTTATTATTCTGGTCATCTTCCATTTAAGGATTATGGAGGTCGCTGTGCTCTGAGGAACCTTAAGTGAGCGGAGTTCCTTTGACCTCATCATTCTCATTTGCTCTGACATGCATTGTGAGCTGTAGGTGTGTGTCTTTCCTAATCAAGTCCAATCAGTATAATCTCACACAGCTGGACTCCAATAAAGGTGCAGGACCATCTCAAGGATGATCAGAAGAAATGGCAAACACCTGAGTTATGAGTGTCACAGCAGAGGGTCTGAATACTTAGGATCATGTGATATTTCAGTTTGTCCTTTTAAATAAATTGTATAAATGTCTAAAATTCTGTGTTTTTCTGTCAGTATGAGGTGCCATGTGTGCATTAATGAGAAAAACAGTTAATTAAAAGGATTTTAGCAAATGGCTGCAATACGAATATGAAGTGAAAAACTGACGAGGGTCTGAATACTGTCCATACCCGCTGTAAAAACTCAAACCTAGTTCTAAACCGTTTTAAGTCAAACCAATAGTTTATGCTTCTGCTCTGATAAAGGCTTCTCCTCTGTGGGCTTCTGCTATTGTCTCTATCTGCAGCTCATTTTATCTCCTCTCTTCAGCCAACAGGCCAACATGCAGGTGGAGTCTCTGCAGGAGCAGCTAAGTGTGGTGGTGAAGCAGAGGGATGACACACTCCTGCAGCTCCGAACCTCTCAGGAGCAGGCCAACCAGTACGCAGTGTCTCTCTCCAACCTGCAGATGGTGCTAGAGCAGTTCCAACAAGGCGAGCTGGCACACGTGTTGTGTTTTGTCTCGGATCTGTCACAAGATAATCCAGTTTAATTTGTAATGTTAACCTGTTTCCTCCTTCCAGAGGAGAAGGCCATGTACTCAGCAGAACTGGAGAAGCACAAAAAGGAGAAGGAGGAGTGGAAAAGAAAAGCTCTTCTGCTTGAAGACCAGGCCTCTGCTCTGCAAGTAAATCTGGAGCCACTGTCTGACCTTGTGACTCGTTATGTGCCAAACCGGGCGTCGAGATCTGCCGATTGCTTGTTGCTTCACGTTCCCACAACGAAATGCAAAACGCGGGGGGCATTTGTCTGCTCCATCCCTCTGGAATGCTCTTCCTCTCAGTGAGGCTGGCACCATCCCTCCCCTGTTTCAAGTCGCTGCTTAAGGCCCACTTTTATGATCAGGCATTTTTAAACCCATGACTTTTTATTGATAATTTTTATTATGTGTTCTTTTTATTGACCCTGATTATCTGCTTTGTTGTGTACTTCTATTATTGATTGTGCTTTTTTTTAACGTTGTGTTTTACTTTTTTATCTGTACAGCACTTTGGTCGGCTGCCATGCTGTTTTTAAATGCGCTTTATAAATAAAGTTGGTACGGTATGGTACTGAAGTAATGTTACTTTTCTCCTGCTTCAGATGAACTTGGATGAAGCCAACGCTGCTCTAGAGTCGGCCTCTCGTCTCACTGATCAGATTGATCAGAAGGAGGAGCAGATAGAGGAGCTGAAAAGACAAGGTGAGACTCAGCAGAGGGTTTCCACTTTGTCTTTAACATTTCTGGTGATAAACATTAAAAAGTCACATTTCTGGAATAAACCGAGACCACTTCAGTTCTGTAGCTAAAAACAACCTCATGATGTTGCTCTAAATGTCTCATAAAATCACTTCCCTGTATTTTTGCAGCTTGACTGATTTACAGGCTCTGCATTTTTTTGTGTCACTTTTATCAGACATGAACGTTGCATCACAGCAGCGCTGACTGGTTATTTTTGTCACCCAATCAGACAGCTCAGACTGACCCTAACCCTGTTCAGTCCTGAAACGAGCTGCTGTCTGTATTTGAATCAGTCTCCTGTTAGAACATTTCTGTTGTAAATATCTGAGAACATCTGGGAGGGCTCGAGAAGTAGAAGTCGGCCAGAGGAGACAGAAGCTTCAGACGACAAGATTTGGAGCCTTATCTCCTGATATTTAGACATCTCTCCTCTGATTGGCTAACAACAAGGCGACTACCACTGACTCTGTTTGCCCTGCAACGTTGATGTTTCATCTCCACAAATAACACCGTCCTGGAGGAGTTCTGCTGTGTGGTGGAGTTGCTAACGCTAATGGTTAGCTTCTACTAGCAAAGATGTTCTCTGCTTTTTCCTGGACGCTAAACCAATAGCAGCCTTCCCCATCGAGATGAAGGAGTCCATGAATGTTAAGTGACAGTGTGATGTAGATCTGTCAGGCTTTTCTAATCCTAGAGTTTCACCGTCTATTTTCTATCAGAAGCTAATGCAGCAGACTGGTGTAGGAGACTATTTTCATGTTCAGCCTGCATGAAAAACTCAGAAAGACCGATTCCTTTAACGGTACAGTTTATTATCTCCCTATTAATCGTTCCTGTTTAGAGCTCAAACAAATAATTCGTTTGTAAATTATTGCCGGTATTAAATATACCTTCATCAGTTACTGGAGGTCACTTTCTAACATAATTAATCCACTGTTTCCATGACAGCATAAGAAATGAATGACTGATGCGTGTCACCGTAGCAAGGAAAGCTCTGCAAGATGGCAACCGAGACAAATCGCTCACCAAATTTGACTATAGATTTTTATTTTTACACAGTAAACCTAACTGAAGGTGTTTTATTGTGGCGGAAAGTGTGATCAGATCGAACGTCGTGTGCCTTGAACAGAACCTTTCTCTTTAGATTGATCAGTCTTTCTGTGGGCGTGTCTTGGACGATCTAATAGAAATCTGTCTTTTCTTGTGTTCCAGTGGACCTGAGGCAGGAGATGTTGGAGGAAGCACAAAGAAAACTGATGAATCTCCTCAACAGCACCGAAGGAAAGATCGACAAGTATGACAAAACCTTCTATAAATGTGTTTAATCGAGTTCATTTTTTCTCTGATTCAGTCATTTTATATCATGTAGTTTTAGAAGCTAAATGGTTCCAGTGGATTGGAGCAAAGCGAGTATCTGGATCATCAGGCTACTTTATTCTAGATGTGGTGTCTGATTGCAAATTTAGTGAAAGTCAAGTGTCATTTAGCTGTTGCTCATAAATAAGGTGATTCCTAGGCTTTGAGTCGTGCCGGCATCCATCATTAGTTTGTGTTGCTCCGTCTGCAGGGTCCTGATGCGTAACCTGTTTCTGGGGTACTTCCACACGCCTAAAGCCAAGCGGGCGGATGTGCTGAGGCTCACGGGAAGTGTGCTGGGTCTGAGCCGAGAGGAGGTGGACAAGGTGAGAGATTTGCTCATCTTCCTGTGATCTGGTTATTATATTTATGCTTCATAATGGTGTGTATTGGCAAGAATGTGGTGATACTATAAATATCACAGCAAAGGGGAGACTTTTTTTCATCGTGATTTGGTGAAGTCGTCCCGAGCCTACGTCGGCTCCTGTAATTCCTTCCTGTTATTTGTTATGTTCATTTGCTGTTGATCTGGTTATTGAGGTAATTAAGAATTATTAGGATCGCCTCTCAGTGCTCTCCGGGGCAGCTGTGTGCTCATCACCACAAGTGTGTGTGTGTGTGTGTGTGTGTGTGTGTGTGTGTGTGTGTGTGTGTGTGAACGGATGAATGATACACTGTAGTGTAAAGTGCTTTGGAGTCCTCTGACTCTGAGAGGCGCTATACAAGCACGGGTCATTTATCATTTCAGTTACTTTCATGACTTTTTCACACAAAATGCTAACTATTACCGTTCACTTGCAGTGTTTATGCTAAGCTAAAGCTAATAGAACACTGCCTGATTAGGAGAATGACTGGGCTGGATACAAAATGCTTTTGGGGAACAAATGAATGAAAGGAAACCAAAGCAGGAGCTTTTTGTGATTTTTGTCATTTAAACTAGTTTTCTAGAGACCACTTTACCTCAGTGATTGTTTGGATGTGTTGATTATGAAAAGTTTTATGATTGAATGGAACTGTTGTGTAATAAAATGGTTTCTGGTTAAATGACGGGATTTATGCTGGAGGTAACCGTTTTAGTTAATTATGTCAGGAGTCTGAATAATAAAAGGAGAGCTTAAATCTACATGCATGTACTCTGATTACTCCTCGGACGAGCAAGAGGAGGAGGCGTTTCACAACTTTTTGGAATTAATTCAGGAAATCTGTTTTTTCACCGAGAGTCTGATGAGCAGATGAACAACATTTGTATCAAGCCACACGAGTTTTCTTACCGTGGAGAATCACTATAATTGATCAGATTTAGTGAACAAAACAACAGGCTGTGCTCTAGATTATGTCCTAACCACAAGGCCGTCAAACTTCCTGAAATGTAGTTTTTATTAGCCTGACTCGAGTCCAGGTTTCACTTCAGTGGCTCTGCTGCTAAAACCACAAACGCTGCACACACCAAAGAACTCTGCTGCAGTTTAATCTTCATGAAAAGGATAAAGTAAACCCTGTTGAAGAAGAGATTACACACATCCACGGGTCACTCTGACCAGTAAGTTCCTGTATCTCCAGCATCCTCTGGAAATCTTCTCCAGGCTCAGGCCGAAGCGGAGAGCTTATTTTTATCCAGATCCTGTTGGCAGGAGCGCTGTGGGAGTCCGTCCAGCGATTCCAAATCGTATTACCCAACTCTCTTAAAGAGAAACACATCCAGGGAAAAAAGATCCCAGCTCCCATTAGTGGGGTTTAAAGTTTCCACAAACCCACTAGACACTTTAAACCAGTTCAGTGACACTGGGCGGTATCTCTGGTTCCTACTGGTTAGGTGTAACGCACGGGTCTGCGCAAGATAATCATGGGGTGTGACTGACAGGTTAATACAAAAGCAATTTAAAACATCTGTATCTGATGATGATTTTAGAAAGTTTAATGAGACTCTGTTCTCAGAAACTGGCAGCAACCAAACCAGAGAGTCTGGTGTTCAAACACTTTTTTATTCTTATGCTTGGTTTAAATAAAGGTTAAAAGTCTTATTTGTATTTGAATAATAAAATATAAGGTGTAGGTGATGTCTGCTCTTCCGCTCTTGTCTGCAGATGCTGGAGGAGGATGCACGGCGGGGTGTTTCTGGATGGATGTCCAGCTGGCTGGGAGGCAGAGGAGCTCAAAGTGTCCCCAACACCCCTCAGAGGCCCAGCAGCGACCAGGGCCTGAACTCGGTAAGAGAAACACGAGTACCGCTTCCTATCCACCAGCTACTGACGTCGTCTCTCATTGGTGCATTAAAGAGTCCTACGTTTTAGAGGCATATGCTCTTGTAGTTGAGTTTTTGAAGGCTGATGCTGATCTCGAACTCTGCTCTGCGATTAACACGATGCATGTCTACACAGCTGTTTACTCAGATTTTAACAATTGTGTTCATAATAAAAAAAAAAATCTCCTTTTCCCAAAATAACAGAGTCTTTATGTAGTTCTCCTCCAGAGAAGAGCCGACTGCTTCAGTGACACGCCGGTGACTTCCTGGGTCTGGTTATTTCTGACAGGCATAGAAAAAGACAGCTTTAACGATTAAATGGTTAAATGTGTGTTTACGTGTGTCAGCATACGTGCAGATGGTGGTTCTAGCATGGGAAGCCCAAACGTTACTGATGAGCTGCAGACGTCCTGCAGCAGGAAACGCTTCTTTTAGTAGACGTTGAACCTTTTTTAGATGCCTGACAGTAAGACATCTTTACGTTATTTTACCCAAATGGTGAAAAAACATTCATAAATCCTGTTATGAATAAAAGTTCCATTGATAATCTTCCCCTCCTTCAGGCTAACATGAGCGGCATTTTCAGCTCTGATTGTGTTTGAGGGACAGGATTATTCAGACTCGGACTGATCTGTAAATCTGCCATTTTCAGTCCTTTTCAGAAATGTTTGTAAGGTTTCTGGAGACTGAGTCGACCCCGTCTTTGCCTGCACCAAAGCTTCCGGTCCACGACATCAAGCCTCTGAGTGCAGCACCTCTAGGGAGAAGCAGCACGTCTGCTTCCACCGCTGCAGGTAAATGACTGATGTGAGAAAAGCCACAGCTGGGATGTTTCGTTGCTTTGATCTAAACCAAAACACCTCTCACCACAGCAGCTGCAGCATCCAGCAGGCGAGCCGGAGACTCCAGTCCGTTCCTGGCTCCTCGCTCTGCAGCTGTTCCTCTGCTGGCCAGGTCTGGACCTGGTGGCTCGGGAGGTCACCTGCTGATGAAGCCCATCTCAGACGCTCTGCCCACGTTCACACCTGTGCCGGTTTCCGCCGAGGCCAGTGCGGGCGCTGTGCTCAAAGACTTGTTAAAGCAGTGATGAGCCCTTGTTAAGAACCAACCTTCAGCACTACAGCAGCCTGGGACATTTGAGCAGCTCTACTTATTGCTGCGCCTTCTCCTTCCAGCAAAAATAAACCATGTGAGAATTCATGATAATGTTCCTGATCTCAGACCAAAATAAGTATTTTTTAGATGGTTGTATCCATGATCCTGGTTCTATGCAACAGGCTCAGTATGGTTGGATCAAACGTTGAATGAAGTGACTTTACAAGCCAAAATGATGTATTTGATTATTTCTGGTGTGTTTTTCTTGACCACGAGTTGCTTTTGATTTGATGGATCATGTCAGTTCTAAACATAAGTGGCCTTATAAACTCTGAGTCTGATCATCACCTCTGTGTATGAGAGGAAACATTGTGTTTTCAGCCATCAAAAATTAGTTTTGTTCCTCCTCCTTTAATTTTTCTTCTTGTTTTCAACGTTTCAGTGAGTTTAGTCTGAACCAGGCCTAAAACCTCTGGCAACAGCTGAGATTTATGTAGTTCAGTACATCTGTTGAAACCATAAAGATCTGTTGGGTTTTCTCAAAAATGCTTCTTTTCCAGACAAGCAGACTGAGATATGCAATGAGTATAATTATAGCTGCAGACTGTGGTTGATCGGAGGGTTCAGGCCGCTCTCATGTTAAAGTCCAACACTATTATAGTTATTTATATATAGATGATGTAAATGGGTTGTTTTGTTTTTATTTATAGGCAACTATAGGACGCTATAGAAGTTAAGTGCCTGTATTTTTTGCAAATGAGTGGTCTGATCAGGTCTGTAAATGGTTGCTATAAAGATTTATATTTACAAAATGTAAACAAGTAGAAATCCAAGAGGTTTTTCCTGATCCGAGCAGGTCTGTGTGGGACTGCTGCTGCACATTTTTGTGTAGGCATCAATCAGAAGCTTCAGGAGGAATGTTACAGGACCTGTCCAGGTGAACTGATGAAATGTAAAAACTGTAAATCCTGACTGGAAAGATTTTTTTAGATGTGAAACTTTGAAGTGGAACATTTGAATTTGATGGATGATTGGTTTAGTCTTTAAATAAAGGTTACCATGGTGACCCCTCGTTTATGAGCGCTTTGACTTGGTTTTTTAATCCTCTATAAACACCTACACAGGATCCCTCCATCCCCGTTGGGTGTGCGTGGTTGGTGGACCCAGACAGGCCCAGCAGTGGCCGCTTGTCGGAGCGAGTGCGCCGCTGTGGGGCCGCGCGCTCAGACTGGAGGGGGCTGGATCTCCTGATTGAATCCAGCTGTTGGGGGGTGACGCGTTCGGAGGGGCCCCGTCAATTTGCATTGCTAAATAATCGGAACAGCCGACGGATCTGGGCAGAAACGGGACGGTCCATGTTTCTGCGAAGGCCCATCTGGTCCGTGAGCCGCAGCTTGAGCTCGATCTCAGCCGTGAGTGAGGCGCTGGTGTCGGCTGTGGCGTCGGGGCGCGTAGCTGCTGGAGGGACTGCAGCCCTGCTGAGTTAGGACATCTTAGTCTTTCAGGGGGAGACCGCTAAAGCCCGCTTCCAGAAATGCATCTCCTCGGGTCCCGTCTCCCCGTGAGGTCAGTATCCTGCTTCAGGTCTTTGATCCAGGTGGAAGTTTCTGCGTAATGGATCCGGACTCGTTTTGTTTTTTTGGGTTTGAATGAATACATGATGCTGAATTCGAGTCCCTGAGAGAAGTTTAGACAACTTGAACTTCCCTCTTTGCAGGATGCTGGCTGCTCTGGTATTTATTCTGCTCTACATCCAGTCTGGACTCGGGCAGGTAAGCCAACACCTGGTTCTCCACCTGGTCGTGACTCACTGACCTGATCGTTTCTCCTTAACCCTAACCCTGTTTCTCCTTAGAGCTGCACACACGGGCTTGCATATGACGGCAGGTTAAGAGCGTGCGCAGGTGAGTCCGATCTGAAGATAACCAGAAGACCTTTTAGCGCGCTGTTCCCCAGATGTTCTGGCTGCAGGAATGCCCTCATCGCTCTTCTCTGCCTTCCAGATGTGAATGAATGCGTTATCCTTCCACAAGCTTGCCAAGGGGACATGCAGTGCATCAACCAGATCGGGGGTTACCGCTGCATCCCGGCTGGGCTGTATGACAGGCCCTTCAGGCCCAACAGCCCGGCCCTGCCCGAGCTAAGCTACCCAGACGCGGACCCGGATCGCACTGCAGACGTCTTCCTACCGGGTCGTCCGAGATCCGTGGAGCCCAGCTACCCCAGAGTGAGCAGCCCCTTGCTGTGCACCCTGGGATATGCTCCTGCAGCGGATGGCACCTGTAACGGTGAGTCAGACTGCCGGGAACACCTGAGAGCACGCATCTCACCTTTGTGGAGGAGGAACTGCCTTAATAGCTGCTTTTCTAACATTTGGTCCAAAGATTTGGCACTAAAACAAGGTGATGGCAGATGCGAGCAGAGCCATTGCAGGTTTTGTTCCTGAGTTATGATGACATAATTTATCAGAATCATGAAAAGAAATTCAATAGCAGATCACCAACACAGCAGTCAATTAAGTTAAAACTAGTTCAACAATCAGATGGACATTTATCTGATTTTGGATCATTTTTCCACTTGTTGCAGAACAATTATTGCTGGGATTGTTTTAGTTAGACTGCATCTTAACATTAAATTAAAGGCTGGGATGGAAACCGGGCTGTTTACAGCTGGTTTAAATCAACAGATCCTGAGCTTTTAATAAGTTTCATTTGTTAATTTGGAAGTTAATTTATTTTATTTTATAGAATGGATCATGTCTTCCTCACAAGTACAGCTAAACAGTTTTGTTTTAAAAGGAAGTTTCCAATGTAGAAGGCATGCTCGTTGATTTTAGTTCTTTCTGCCATTTCAAAGATGTTTTCTTTCGATTTTATTTCATAAACATCATCTTACCTGCTGTAGTTTTCTGAACAACCTCTTTCAGTTTTCTTCCAACAAGATTGATGTGCTAACAGCTAGTCTCAGAACTCAGCTGAACCTTTAAGCTGCCGCCATCTGAAAACATCCAAGTAGCTATTGTTGATGTTTTACATGTTGTTGTACGTTTAACTTATTGGTTTTAAATTGTGTCTGTTGCTTTTATGTTTTATTCTTTTGTTGTGCAGCCCCTTGGTGGCACGCTGCCTGTGAGGTGCTTTATAAATACTGAGTTGAGTTGAAGTACAAACATTTTTGTGCTGAGGTGAATTTCACATCACATTGTTATTTTGGCAGAAATATCTATAATTTAATTTTATATCCTGCCAGGTTTGACCTCTGCACTAGCGCCACATCTGCTGCAGGTGATATTTATGCTCGTTAATTTAATAGTCTATAATTTTGTGTAATACAAAATCTTTTGTGTTAAGGTTTTTTTTTTTAGATTGTTCGAACATCTGCCACCTCCTGCTGTTTATTAGATGCTGAAATAAAACGGGGCACTGACATCAGGGAAATTGGTTATTTTCCCACATTCAGGACTCTGGGTAAACTTGTCAGACCTCTAGATCACCGGAGCAGGTGTTTTTATGTTTGCAGTGCAGAGTCCTGCCTCTTGTCACTCAGCCTAAACAGTCATTCAGCTCCTCACGGGTAAAACGTTCTTCTGTTTTCATAAAATGCAGAATTTTCCAAACCAGCCGTCAGAAATCCTACTCTGGGTTGGGTGCATAATAATGAGTTCATTTGGAGCTGTTTTCCCTCATTTATGTTAAATCAGCCATGAGGCTGCAGTCAGAAGATGAATGTATAGAGCGAAGATTGTTTCTCCTTCTGAAGAGAGCTTTGGAGTTTAGCTCTTGCACAAATATGGACTGTTTCTCTCTGTAGGGGAGAAGCTTTTCAGGGCATCGGCTCACAACCTTGTTTGGGTAAACGACTCCACCAGGGGGCCCAAAATGAGGTCATGTTCAACCAAACCTGGACCCAGACCCGGGCTGGGGAACAGGCATTTCTCTGTGGGGGCCACGTATTACGTGTCCACGCACTCCTGGAGGTTGTGTGTAGAGTGATGTAATGTGTTGCTGACTGAGGATGCTGCGGGTCAGAACTTCCACAGACTGTGACTTCCTGTTTGAACCTGTTACAAACATGGCATTGTTTTTGGCTAGTGCCACAGCACTGCCTGGGTTCCTCTAATGGTACCCGTCTGTGGGGGAACAATGGAACTGATTAGGTCTCTGGTATGCCTTCATGCTTTTCTCAACATGTTTTTTTCAACTACACACAGTCACAGTATTATCCCTGTTTGAGCTGATTTTTAGTTACGTATAGTGTATTTCATTCAGATAGGATTTTGCTAAATCATGAAAATAGACTATCAATAAATAGAGATTTAAAAAAAACAACTGTTAACCCTCCCAATGTCCTAATGGGTGTGACCTCGCGAGGAAAGTAGACCATTGAGCAGGGTTGATGGTTTGTCGCTTGGGCCCATGTGGCAGGGGTGAGGAGTGAGCACCACCTCACTCCTGCCACGTGGACCTCAAGGGATAAACCATCAATCCTGCTTAGTGGTCAACTTTCCTCGCGGGGTCACCCATAAAGACAGTGGGAGGGTTAAAAATTTAAACAAACATTAAAAGGAGTCAGTGTCCAAAAGCAAATCATAAAAGTGGGTCTTAAAACGTGACTTAAAGACAGCAAAGAACGATGCTGTCTGATTGTAATGGGTAGTGCATTCCAATGGATGGGAGCAGCATGCCCAAAGGCTCACTCCCCTTAGCTTTATGGTTCATTTTTGGATTGCAAAGCAATAGGCGATCAGCTGACCTCAGCGAGCACACCGGCACATAGAGCGTGAGCAGGTCACACAGGTAGGGTGGTGCAAGTCTGCTCAGTGCTTTGAATACAAAGAGCAGGATCTTGAAACACACTCTAAAGGTCACGGGTAACCAATGTAGATTATCCAGCACAGGGGTGATTTGGCTACATCTGTTTGTGTTTAAGAACCTTGCAGCAGCGTTTTGTACCATCTGCAGCCAGTTCAAGGCTGAAACAGGGGTGATGATGAGTGAATTTGCATAGTCTAAGTGAAAAGTGATAAAGGCGTGGATTACAAATTCTAAATGGGACCGTTTCAGAATAGACTTCAGGCGTGTTAACCTGTGCAGTTGAAAGAAACATGATTTTACAACCGCATTTATCTGAGAAACCGTTGAAATTCCAGCATCCAGTTTCACTCCAAGCCTGGTGACACACTGTTTGAGGTTAAAACTCGGAAGACTTGGGACAGACAACGTGCGAGAGAGGTTTCTGGGGTCGAAGAGAATCCACTCAGTCTTTGACTCATTTAGATGAAGGAAGTTTGCAGCCAGCCACCCCTTCACATCAGCGAGGCGGTCCACGATTTGTATGTCCGAGTTTTGTCCATTCATTGCCAGGATGATCTGACGGCCATCAACGTAGATATGATGGCTGAAATCTTTCCCAAAGGGCAAAGGTAGACGGTAAATAGAAGGGGTCCCTGGACGGAACCCTGCGGCACCCCCATCTCGATTGAAGAAGTACCGTCACCCATCTGCATGCAGAAAGATCTGTTTTCCATATTTGAGCGGAACCAGTCTAGTATGGTACCTGAAAGACCAACCCAGGATTCTAGGTGGTCCAACCAGATTTGGTGGTCAAATGTGTCAAAAGCTGATGAAAGATCTAGTTGTTGCAGCAATACCTGGAATCTGATGCAGTCAGAATATCATTCAGCACAGGAATCAGAGCAGACTCAGTACCGTGGTGGGGTCTGAAAGCTGATTAAAACATGTCCGACAGTGAATTTGTCTCCATGTGGGATATAATCTGTGAGTAAACATTCTTCTCCAGAACCTTTGACACAAAGGAACCTTTGAAATTGGGCGCAAGTTTTCAAAGTTCGAAGGATCTAGACCAGATTTCTTCAAAATTGGCTGCACAATCGTGTTTTTGAAGGCCATAAGATACACACCAGTGGAAAGACTGGTGTTCACAATGTTCAAAATGGCTGGATCCAGGACAGAGGATCACGCACCAAATTATGTGGTAGGGGTTCCTCAGGAGAATCTGCTGGCTTCACAGATTTAATCAGTTTGACAAGGTAATGGAGTTGAACAGCAGTTCAGAGAAGGGGTTTCTCTGCAGGTTGGTCTAGCGATGCTTCATTGTAGCCTCAGCAGGTCCACCATTGACCTGAGCAGCTTTAGGTTGGGCCAATCACAGCACTCTATGTTTGTAGAGAGACGCTGGGCAGGCTTAGTATCAGAGCTGAGACAGAAAAAAAAACCTACAAAGATGACTTCAGCTCAGGAATGGCGATCGTTTGAAACGGCTTTGGCATCCCAAATACATGGCACATGTCAAACAGGATCAGAAAGTTTAATCAACTCTTACATTTAAAGGAAGTGGAGGCTTGACCATTCACAGGCTTTCAATGGACAAGTAAAAAGTTGGCCTGCCTTTGTAGACCTCTTTAGACCTGCTGCAAAGGCCTTGCTTCTATGCACCCGCAGCCACGCCGATGGAGAAGTATAAATCAGGCTTAACCCAGTGATGCTGGAGCTCAAGCACTAAAGAACCATCCATCCATTTTCTGAATCCGCTTGTCCACGCGGGGTTGCGGGGGTGGGGGGTGGGGGTGGGGGGGGGGGGGCTGCCTATCTCCAGCGGTCAACGGGCAATCAGGTGGGGAACACCTTGGACAGAGAGCCAGTCCATCACAGGGCAACATAGAGACACACAGGACAAACAACAGCTCAGGGGCCTAGTAGTGGAGTGTCCGCCCTGAGACTGGGAGATCAGGGGTTCGATTCCTGGTCGGGTCATACCAAAGACTTTGAAAAAATGGGACCCAATGCCTCCCTGCTTGACACTCAGCATTAAGGGGTTGGATTGGGGGGTTAAACCACCAAATGGTTCCCGAGCGCGGCTGTGTCTGCAGCTCACCGCTCCCCCAGGGGATGGGTCTAAAGCGAAGAACAAATTTCACACACACATCAGTGTGTGTGACAACTAATGGGACTTTAACTTTAACAATCATACACACACACACACACACACACACACACACACACCTAGGGACAATTTAGACAGACCAATTAACCTAACAGTCATGTTTTTGGACTGTGGGAGGAAGCCGGAGTACCTGGAGAGAACCCACGCATGCACAGGGAGAACATGCAAACTCCATGCAGAAAGATCCCAGGCTGGGAAGCGAACCCAGGACCTTCTTGCTGCAAGGCAACAGCTCTAACCACTGCGCCACTGCGCAGCCCCACTAAAGAATCAGCCATGTGTAAAGGCCTTTTGATCTTAGTTTTCTAAAACTACTTTAAATAAGACAGTTTCATAAATTTTGACACTAAAATAGTTTAAAAAATCATCCCCCTCCAAAGTAATTGTAATTTGGCATTGTGGGCATGTTAACGAGATTTAGCATTTAAATAGCTTAGTCACACTTGCTTGTCAGGTAAGTAAAGTTTGATTGTGTATGTGTGTGCACGTGTGTGTGTGTGTGTGTGTGTTCATCTGTGTCACTTAAAAGATTACACACTCCTCTGTAGCTCAGGAAAAATGTTGACCCTTACTTTTAAAACTCAGAAGAGAAGCTCTAAATGACACCTTGTCTGAAAATGTATTTCCTCATCAGAGACGTGAACCATGATCAGCTTGAGTGTTTTTCATGATCGATGTATTTAGTATCCAGGGGAAGCTCGGCACTGACCCCAGATCAGCTCCTGAAACAGCCTATATAAGGTGGTGGTCTGAAGCTGCTGTGTGTTGGAGCTCACTGTTACATATGTTGTACAGATGAAGGACTCTCAGAGACTCGGCCCTAACTGCATGCAGGTGCTGAGGCTGTGTAGCTTTTGGCCTTTGGCCGAACCCCCCCTCCCCCCACTCCCAAAGGGCATCGAGTTATCACTTATCATAGCACCCTGTCCAAACAAAAAAGGGAAAGAAAAAGATTCCCACCCACTTCCCTCACTGGTTTTCTGGAGATAGGTGACTTCACAGTCTGAGAACCACAATCAGAGGCGGGTTTTTGAATATTTCATATCCTCATAAGGAAATGTGGCCGTTAGGATTGTGTCCGAGCTGCTCCAATGGAATTTAGATAGAAATGTGAGATACAGCTTATCTTGTGTAAAACCCATTGTGAGTTGGCGCCGTGGCGAAATATCACACGTTTTTGTAACACGGCGTGGTGAAAAGTGTTGGAGCCATGTTTGAAAAGAACTCTGCTGATAGGATCTCTGGGAAGTTTGTGGATGTTTGTCCTTAAAGAATGAAACTTCTCATTAGTTGAAAAAGAGGTTAAAGGGGGACTTTTCTAATAACAAAAGAAAGAGCTGATGGAAATGTAAATCACATTATATCCCACTAATTCCTTCAATAAATGCTTGACTTATAATAAAGTTTGGTTTCATTCACAAGTTTTATTCAAGAAATGAGATGAATATTCAAAAGGATGTTGATGTTTTTTTTTAAATATCATGATCCTTTACAGAACCATATTTGATCATTTGTGCATGCTTAAAGAGCAAGTCACCCCCTACCAGTGTCTCACTCCACGCCCACTTCCTGTTTGAAAAATGCAACAAATGCTGTTGCCTGGGCAAACCGAGGGGGAGGAGCCGCTAACAGTCACACACACACTCAAGCTCACAACGACATTGTGACATCATAATGCACTAGCTAATGTCGTGGTGTACCTCTTAGCTAATAGCAATGTCAGATTTAAATTAAAATACAGTGCAGAGTTTTTACCTGAAGATGGCGTAACTAACAGTTTTAGGCAGAATAGTTAAAATTTAACTAAGATGCACTAAAGTGCCAAATTATTGACTACAAGTGTCTGCAGCATGATTAGACAGTCATTTATATAGTTTATCAGCAAAAAAAAGTTGGTTTGGGGGTGACTTGCTCTTTAGGATCTTGATTTTCAGCCTTTATGAGTGATTTTTACTCAATAATGTGTTTTTGTCTCCTCTTCCTCTCTGCTTGCAGATGTTGACGAGTGTGAGACAAACTCTCATCACTGTAACCCCACCCAGGTGTGCATCAACACGGCGGGCGGCTACACCTGCTCCTGCACTGAGGGTTACTGGCTCATCGGAGGACAGTGTCAGGGTCAGAGGACTCTATGCTCTAACTCCATTTACCGTAAATCCTCTAATACAGGCCTGTATTTTACTCAATCTCATCAAGCTCCAGGCCTTTATTGGAAGGAGGACCAGAATTAGAGGCAGGCCTCAATTTCTATTTGAGCAAAATGAACAAATGGTTCGCTGGAGTTTTTGACAATTAAAATTGCGCCCACATTTTCAAAGTTAAACACATTTCTTTTAACAACAGTAGTTTTTGCTTCAGGAACAAATAAAAGAATAAAAGACAGAAAACATAAAAGGAAATGAGCCGACATGAACGATCGCGTGTTAATTTAGTTTTTGAGGTGGCGATACCTGATTTGATCATGTTACTGTGGCCGTGCTCAGGACGCAGATGTCTGGAGTGCATCAACAATCAGAGCTTTGCATGCGCAAGCTGGTTAAGGTTAGGATGGGGGTGAGGGGAAGGTTAAATTGCAAGAGGGTAAACGTCACAATTTGGTTAAATGTCCGTTTTACGGTGGGTGTCAGTACCGACGCTCTGGCACAGCGCGTTGCCTCCCGACGCGCAGGAGCTTGTCACCTGCTGACAGCAGGCTGCTGTCTTTTCCGTGGACTGCATCTTGCCGGTCATTATCACGTGACAGCGACTAGTCGATGACAGGCATAACAAGTCACTATAGAGCGGTGAAGTCGACTAGTGACTAGTTCATACAACCCCTGCTGCTGCTCCCCAGAGTGTTCTGCAGCATAATCAGCACGTTCGCTTTGAACTTGATATCAAATTTTCGCCTCCTCTTCATCTCCGCATGGTTAAAGTTACCCTCGCGGTCTATCACTGGCAAATCAAAAGTGAGACGGATGACACAACCGCCCCCCCCCCCCCCCCGTACTTGCTTGTTACCACATTCCACCCGGCCACAATAAAAAAAAACTGCTATTATTCACCTCCGCCAACTCTGACACCAGCCAAAATATGATACCCGACCGTTAATTGAATGCAGGCTAATATTAGAGGATTTACGGTACCTGTCTCTTCTCCACTGAGTACAGTTCATGTTCAGCAATGTTTTTCCCCTCCTTTCAACCAGATATTGACGAATGCCGTTACGGCTACTGCCAGCAGCTGTGTGCCAACACGCCCGGCTCCTATTCATGCTCCTGTAACCCCGGCTTTAACCTGAACCCAGACCAGCGGACCTGTCAGGGTACGTGAGCTCACAGAATGATGAATAAAGACACACATGGACCTAAATTAGACCCAAAACAACAGAAACACCTACACTGCAAAAAAAGAAAAAAAATCCAGAAAGTATAAAATAGCAGTAAATGAAAAGGAGGCAAATATTCTTAAATATGACCAAAATTACTTGTTTTGATAAATAATTTCCAATAGGTCAGTAAATGTTGCTTGCTAGCAAATAATTTTAATGTCAGATTTCTTTTTTGCTAGTATTAAGAATTCTAGCCAAGCAACTTTTACTTGCGACATTGGCAGATTGCTTTACTCACAACAACATTTAATCATATATGAGAATATTTATCGTATTTCAAGCAGTGCTGTTTTTGCAGATACAATATTTGTTTCTTTTTGAATCAAAAACAAGACAAAATGTCTCAAAACAAAGCTTTTTTTACTTTCTCAAAATTCAGTTTTTGCAGTGTTGAGTTATTTGGGATCATCGTAAATTTGTGCTTCCAAGTAAATTCCTTACTTGAGGATTTTTTTAACCTTTAAACTCACAAATCTTCTCTGAAGTGTGAACAAGAACCCATAAACACGCCGCAGATGCAGTTATGGCCTCTATAAAAGAGAGCCAGGGTGAGTGGCGGGAAGTTTCTAATCTGAAGTGCGCCTCCTAGTGGTAGGTTGTCATTAGTGCGTTAACGTTTTTCATGATCATGATCCAAAATCTGTGCAGCTGTTTCTTTGTGACTTTATCCATCCCTCTCATGGCTGTGGAGGAACGCTGGTCCTCTCTTCCTTTCACCGCTGCTTTAATCCACACTAGTTTGTTGGAATCTGTTTTTCCGCAGCTCTCTAAAGGATCCAAGGAGCCCATCACAGCCTTTCACCCAGGCTATGGTCTAGATTTTGTCAGAACCGGCACAGCACCTTGATTCTGTTCTTTTACCATGTTGTAGATGGGCTATTAGAGGGTTGGGGTGTTTAGTCAGGCTCGAACCCTCTTATAACTCTTTTGAGGCTAATTCCTCTTAATAGAAATAAAAAGAAAACATGTGCATGCCCACACCTGTAATTGGTTTGTCACATACTCCTGTTTTCCATCCAGATGTGGAGGAGTGTGAGGAAGAACCCTGCAGCCATGGCTGCATCAACACCTACGGCTCCTTTATGTGCAACTGTGATGAAGGGTTTGAGTTGGCGGCCGATGGCACGAGCTGCATTGGTGAGAACAGTCATGTTTTTTACAGTGTAAATCTGTTCTACTTTATATTGACTCCAAACTGTTGATCCATCTAAAACAGTGGTTCCCAACCTTTTTTCACTCGTGGAGCTCCTGAGCCGTTTCCTTGTACCACGTGTGCCCCTTCGACAAACGCGTTGGTGATTCTGCAAAAGTAGAACGTACAACTGATTATTAAATGAAAAAAAAATTAATAAATCTCCCTAACGCTGAACCATGCTCCCGTCCTGTCTGGCTCAGCTGAATTCTTTAACTTTTACAATCCTCATGCAGGGTTCAGGAAAAAAAGAGTCTCCATGCGGAAACTTTCTAGACCTCTGCATCCAGATCTGCGCTGCACCTCAGCAGGTCTAAATGCTCTGATTGAACTCGGTGACTCCTGATCTATGCAACACCGTTCTGCATTCAGTGTGAACAAAGCTTCACGCCGTCTCTCAGTAGCTGCTGCAGCTCTCGGTTTTCCCTCATGTAGGTCCTCAGCACCCCCCGTCCTACATGTTTCAGGTGTTTTCCAGTTTCCACGTATAAGTGAGTGATTAACAGGTTTCTGCAGCACTTGATGTCATCATGAGAAGCCAATGCAAAAAATAAATCAGGTGGGCTGAAGCAGGGACATGGAAAACATGCAGGGGGGAGGGGGGGGGGGGTCTGCATCTGTATCACAATATATTCTTTTCTTCTGTTTATATTTTTCGAAATGACTGTTTTTTACATTCTCACATACCAGATGAATTGCAGCAGAACTAATACTTCTAAAATTATTGAAGACCATTTAATGTAATGCAAAACCTGTCAAGAAGTTTTATGTTGTGTTATGATTCATTCTTCAATCAATACATTGATGCAAGCATTACTAAAACGCTTAAATGGTTATTATCTTACATTAATGTTTACTTAATGATGATATTATTTTTACCAGCAGTGGAGCTGACACAGCGTGATAAAATTGGTGCACAGATATGATGATATTAACCATATATTACTGTGCGTTACTTTATTTGTGTATTCATTAAGCATAGCACATCCGAGGCCGATGTTTTTTTTTTTTTTTTTTTTTTTTTTTTTTTTTTTTTGTTACCAGGGCACAGCAAATGTCATCAACTGTAAGCCTAACCCCTGTAATGCATTCATGGACCACCTGGGGTACACATACCCCTGGTTGAGAATCACTGATCTAATAGAAGATGCACAGCGCTGGAAGGGCGATGCATCTGCCTCTTGTTGGATTCATGTAAACGGTTGTTTACACCGCTCCCAGAGGAGTCGGTGATCATTTAGAATATGTTTTTATTTCGTATCATTCAGACTGGGACGAGTGCAGCTTCTCTGAGTTTCTGTGCCAGTACAGATGTGTGAACACTCCCGGCTCCTTCTCCTGCATCTGCCCACCTGGATATTATCTATATGAGGACGGGAGGAGCTGTGAAGGTAAATTTCCATCCGTCTAATGCGGTTTAATCACCACGGCAACAAAAAATACCCATTTCACTGTGTTGGTTGTAGTTCTGCTGCCCTGACTGACTTTTATTGTTGTGTGTTTGGTTTATTTCAAAGATATCAATGAATGTGACACTGGTAACAACACCTGTACAACACAACAAGTGTGTTTCAATTTCCAGGGAGGTTATATATGCCTGAACCCTTTACAGTGTCAGCCTCCTTACGTCGCAGTTAGTGACAAGTAAGCGTTGCTTCTGGATTTACAAAATTGGCACATTTAGAAAGAATTTGTGGTCGTAACTCATCTGCTTTCCACCACAGTCAGTGCATGTGCTCTGCTGAGAACCCTGCCTGCAGGAGCAGGCCCTTCACCATTTTGTACCGACACATGGACCTGTCGTCGGGGCGCACTGTGCCTGCAGACATCTTCCAGATGCAGGCCACCACGCGTTACCCCGGCTCCTTCTACATCTTCCAGATACAGTCGGGCAACGATGGGCGAGAGTTTCACATGAGGGTGAGCATCATGAGTGACAGAACTCATAGCCTCTGTGCAGAAGAGCCACATTAACCCTAACCCCAACCCCAGCCCTGGCCCTACCCCAACACTATGAATTTGTGAATGTTCTTCAAAAACAGAAAATACGTTTAATGCATTTGAAGCAACAACTTACTGAGTGATCATCACAAAACAAAGAAAACAGCGCCACCTACAGGGACTTTGTAAGTCAAGAATATAAGGGAATTGCAGCAGCAAGCTGGAACGGAAATGGCGGTAAAGTTTCCCTGTAAGCTGTCAGTCCTGGGTGTACTGGGGAAGCATCACACTAGTCTGATTAGAGACAAAAAACAGCCTGATGCTCTAAAATAAGCTTTACTTTTGAATTTCACAATGACACAGGGACATTGATTTAAAGAACGTTAGTGTTACTTTAAGCTCCTCGTGTTTATGTGTAAAAAGTGTGAGTGAGAGACAACCCTAAAACTCAATTATTAGTATTTTTGTTTTTAGATTTGTAGGATTTGCTGTTTCTTAAACACGTACAGATATTTGTAGAGTTGATCAGGATTTGTTCTTTAGGGTTCCTTAGTCTGAGCCAGGGGTGTGTGGTCATTCTGAAGTTTCCTTTTGCTGCTTCAACCAACAAAAGCACAGAAATGACATCATATCATTTTATAACCCCAGTATTAATATTATTTTTAATATTTTTTGTTTGTTTTATGCCACATTGTGACTGTGAGCAAAACAAATTGATCAGTTTTATTCTAAGAGGTTTTAGTCTGTTTGACTTTTTGTTTCCTGCTGAAATCCGTGGTAAAGATAATTATTTTTAAACATATTTAAGCAAAAGCCTCACGGAAAACAAGGTGCAGACATGTAAACTGATGCATAAAGTAAAATAAGTCGCCTTTTCACTAAATTGTATTTGGAACCGACAATGTTCTCAATGAATGAAAATCCAAATGATAATATCAACAATAATAATTAAAGTTTAAAGTTTAATCTAAATGTTTAAAATTTAATATAAATATAAAAACAATTTAATTATGTACTTATGAGTAAAATAGTTATATCTAAATGTTAAAGTTTAGACATAAATGCAGATGTTTTAAACTAAATTAGCTGAGATGCTAATTCAAATGGGCAAATACCAAATTAAGGTTTTTTTCTGTTGATATTTAATTGCTTCAGATGAGAAAAAAATGATGGAATCAAACAAAAATAACCAGAGAAAATATAAAAG